GTGTACAAGTTTGGAGCATTCAAGATGAAATTCAATCTTATTCTTTATATTACATCCTGGACGCGTGAATTATACAGGGCAGGTCGCAATTTTACATCGGCGCATCGGCGCAGCGCTTTCCACCATGGACCATTCGAAGCCGGGCAGTGCTTTGTTCAGCAAGCACATCTGTCCGCCTTGTATGAATGCGCAATGAAGATCTCGATGGATTTCCAAGAAGCGAGTGAGAGATGATATAGAAGGTAAAGCTGGCGATCCGCCGAATGTACTGAAGCTTTTACCTTTTTCATTCAGGGTCATCGTGACTCGCTCTAACGCCCATCGCTTCCCAACAAAATTACCCAATGTCGACTAGATGTAGATTGACTCACTTGACAGACTTCGCGTCATCTCGTGTTGTAACGGAATAATCTTTCTTCTTTAAGAAATCATCTTCCCTCACTCACTTCTCCGATGGCATCATGCATTCACGATATGGGTTTCTTCACACTACGGATGTATACATTCACAGTACTTTTTCACCTTCAAGACACAGCTACTCACGAGATAGTTCATCAACGCCATGGTCTCACTTGCACTGTCTTGCTACAACATGCATCATGCGAGCGACTACAAAAGATTTCTCAGTATTGCTCTTTGGTTGGAAGTCATCACATAGCTCACATACTACAACGGTATTCACAACATCAACGACTTTGAAAACCCAACAACTCAGCGACATGAATCCCTTCGGCAATCTATTCGGCTTCGGCTTTCGCTCTGACCGATCATCTTCCCGCCGTTATACACACGGCGGTCACGATAACTATGGTAGATCCAGCTCTAGCCGGCTCAATGAACCCTTCAATATGCCTTATGGCGATTACAGGACAACTTCACGCCGTGAAGAATCTGACAACTCAACTCTGCGTCGTGCTGCTTCCCAGCGCGAGCCATATGACAACCGGTATAATTACCGTGACGTGAGCCCGATCCGCGCCTCTGAGCGTCCTCGCGCTTTCACTCATAAGCATGCCTACGATGACCATCGTTCAGTAAGTCCTCTGGGTACGTCTCGGTTCGAACAGCCGTCGATGGCGACACGTCAATTCAGCGCGTCAAACATGGGCGGTACATTGTCTGATCGTAGCCCATCTTGTGCGACGAACTCTCGCGACACCTCGCGGTCGACCTCGTTTAGACTCGACCGTGGCTACGATGGCTATAGCTGCCCAGAGACCTCCAGTGGAGGGTTCTTTCGCAGCAGCGCAGCCCACGGTGGGGATGCTTCTCGCCGTAGGGGATACGATGAAAGGTACGGTTCGACACTTGGTCGCGAGCACCGTCCCGACGTTGGTTCGAACTTTCGACATGGTGGATTCAACTGGGATCTCTTTTGAGCTTTTCTAAGTTTAGTATTCCTCGTTCATCGTCTTTCTCCTACGATGTTCTCTTGTTATCCTTTCTTTGTCAACAAATAGGATGAGAACTTGTATGAGTTACATATACTGCGATATAATGCCATTTGTATTACCCAATACCATGTTATGAATCTGTCACGATCTAAAATACACGTGCGCTTACTTCTTGAACATGTCCATAAACATGCGAAGCTGTCTACTTTAATATATACACCCGAATCATCCGAAACGTACGAAGTCGACCCTAAATTTTACTGTGTAAAGCTCTTTATCATCTTCCTTCCCCGAATGTCATCTGCGCTCACGGCCTCCGACGTCGCCGCATCCTCGTCTTTGTATTTTTCGCCCTCATTGTCATCCGTGATAAGATCGTGAGGCAGATTAATGGCCCGATCGAGGGCATATGGCAGACCCCTGTGCCTACCACGCAGCATCATAGCGCAGATTACCACTTTGCCGAAGGTATTGAAGTGTCCAGACAGCGAGGTGAGGTTGGATGGGTGACCAAGCGAAAGACCGACGTTGCCGTACGCGGAGACTACTTCGAAGAAGATTGCGAAGACGGAGAAGGCCTGTTGATAAGTTAGCATACGAATCCCGGTGAACATGATTTTGGTCGAACTTACCCAATCTTCCCGACTCATGATCCGATCACTCTCCGCAATACAGATACAGAACACACCCAAGAAGATGTACCATAGATCGAAACTCAACTGATTCCGTAGATGACTGATCAAGTATGTTTTGCTTCCCTTCTGTTCATCCAAATTCTCATCTGCACCGTAGATGCCCACAGATTTCTCCTCGTAGCTCTCACTCATACGGATAGAGATCGCGATCGGGTAGATGGAAATATACATCATGACAAGGAGACTGAACTGCACAGCTGGGTTGACAGCCGCAAGGTTGAACGTCGACGTACCGGTGTGGCGGGACGATGCAGACTGGAAGATGGCAGCGAGGATGCGGGGCCCGACAGGTAAGACGTTTACTTCTGGGTTGTCTAGATCGAGGACAACGATGAGCAGAGTGTCGATGAAGTTCAGGGCGAAGAGGATGGAGGCTAGGATCCAGGTTGCAGTGGCAGGGAAAAGCAGTGTGTAGCATCTTCGCGGATGGTCGAGTAGGAAGCGTGTCGATTCTTCAAGCGAGGAGCTCGCAGGGGCAAGCTTGTAGATGGTCCAGATGAGGAGGCGCAGGAAGACGGGATAGAAAGTATTACCGGCGAATGCGAGGAACGACATCACTAGCATCGGCCAGGTTGCGTCGCGGAAAGTTATCATACTGTCCGGCGTAAGTGTCAGGCCGAGATTGTCGACCATGGTTTGCGCTGAGTAGAACGCCCACCATGTCTTGTCTTGACCCTGTGAGGCAAGGTAGTCTTGGTACTTTGCTGGTGCCATATGAATCCATGGGAGCAGGCAAATGACTCCGAACGTGTGTAGTCCGACAAAGTATCCGACCGTGACCTTGAGCAAGACGCGCAAGGCACGGTACTCAACACCACCTAGCTCTTCTCGAGTCATGGAAGCCAGATCGATGGTGGGTTCTCTCCGTGGCTTGTCTTCGCTACGACGGTGCGTGCTTGCGGTACTTCCGAGCACGAATATGGATGACACAGCGCGATCTACGGACTTTGCCTTGCTCATGGTTCGAGTGTTCATGCTTCTGGTCTCTGACAGGTTGCGACGTCGTGTATAGCTTGATTCTGCGACGGGCTTGATACGGTCTTCATCTTCGTCTTCATCATCGGACATCGAAGTAATGGGTTGACCATTTTCGCGTTCTCGCGGGCCAGGAATGTACAAAGTGCCTTTTTCTTTGGCAGTGTGTCGAGGGTCGGGTGCAAACGTGATGCGGGGAGCAGAAGGCTCATCGTTCGAATTCTCTACAGTGGAAACAGGCACAGGCTTCTTCTCCGAGACTGTCTCGCCAGTGAGACCTGCTTCAAGCTCTCGTGTATCGGAAGTATTGGTAGTCTTTTGGACCTGACTGATAGACAGTCGGGAGCTCCTGGGCCTAGTGTGTGCCGCTGCTGTTGAGCTGTTAGCTTCGGACGTAAAGACAGGACGAAGCTTGACATACCGACACCCTTCAGCTTCTGACTAAACCAACGTAGTCGCACAACGACGACAATGACGTTAACAAATCCCAGGTTTGTAACGATGGGTGTGATGTAAACGAAGATTTGCTGGTACGTTTTGAGAGCCTTGACATCAACACTAGTTCACTGTCAGCACGAAGCCAGTCTAGCACATGCCAGCGAAACTTACGGATTCAACCCAGATTCGGTTGACGCGCTGACACCAAAGTAGTACGCATCGATAGCGGAAAGGTTGCCATAGGGATAGATGATGATCAAAGCTAAAATGCCGAAACTGAGAATGTAGGCATCTTCATGCCGTTAGCGATGCCACCCCTCTTGAACCAGGCAAGCACCCGTATGCAGAACTTACAATGCAGCGTAATGAAGTTTATTGGTGGCTTCCACATGCTGGTCTCTTCTCGTTTCGAAATGAACTTTCAGAAATGAAGTTGAGGGATTTCCGTATACGTGCAGTGCAGCAACGAGACGCAAGGGCGAATAAGCGAACAAACGGTATGACAAAAGAGCAGCAAAAAGAACTCAAAACACAGAGCTCGTTTACCAAAGGATTGGAAAATGTCTCGGGAGGGGTAGAAGCTCTAGGTAGGAAGGCAATGCAATGTAATGCGGTCTGGTCACAAAGGATAATGTTTGTATGAGGCATTTATCACCCTCACGATCAGCGGGCTGCTCAGCCACTGCTGGGCAAGTCATGATGGGCCTGCCTTTGCCTATTGCGGCGGATATACCGCCTGTGAAAGTAACGTAGGTCATGTTTTACTTGCTTTGCCGGTGTTTGCCAAGCGGGGGATAATTCGCGCATTGTGACGATGTCGTGGTTCCGGAGTGCGAGTGTTCCTACAAGCCTTCTGGCTGCAGACTAGCGTGCGACCCTCCCGCTGTACGAAGGCTTGTGATTGGCCAGCAGGCTCATCTGTATGCAGGTGCGCGCTTCCTTGCCCTGTGGGGGTATTTATTTCACATGGTTAACTCGTGGCTTCGCTTGTGGTGTCGTGGATATCGTTGTACGTAAGTTACGTCGATGTTCAGGTTTTTCAATATGCGAGATGACTGTTCATCGACAGCTCCCATTGTACGGTGTAGTATTAACGGTACTTCAAATGACCGCAAAAGGCCCATGATGTGTTAGTGCATCCAATTCAGCCGTAGCCATCTCATCCAGCCGAGTCCAAGAACGTAAGACTTTACGTTAAGAAAACCCATCTACCCCTTCAGATTATTCGCGCAAGTCTCGCTAGGATTCTACAGACGCTTGATTCGACTTCCTTCCTTTTGCGACCGTACTTTGTACGTGATGTTAAGCATAGACATGCGATGCACGTGTACATCATTAGAAACGTCAATATAATTACTATGTCCTTATAGGCATTATCCCCCAAGCACCAGAGACTCAGAATGTCATTGTACGGGGTTGTTCTAAACCAATGCCTCAAATATTCCCATCGATATCACCGAAAGACAAAGCACGCCCTTTTTATCCTTCCGCATTTCTATTAAATTATAGCCCAAGTTCCCACAGCACCAGCAAGAATCGCAACAACAGCACCCAAAGCCAGATGGATCGGCTGAATCTTGGTTGCAACAGCAGTCTGGACGACGGGTCCAGCAACCGTCTCAGCGATAGGAGTAGCCATAGTTTCGACGATCGATACAGGCTGGTGCTTCTTCTGCGCCTGCGCCTTCTTGCCGCCTTTTGTGCCACGCTTCTTCTTCTTGGCTGCTGGAGCAGTACCCTCGCTATTGTCTTTGTTTTCATCCTCCTTTTTATCAGGTGAATCTGGTGTTGACGCATCGGCGGATTGCTCAGACATGAGGACGTCGTATATGTTTGACAATGTCGCCGCCTGCTTGTTTTCCTTACGCTTTTCGTTGCGCCTCTGGTTGTTCGTCTTGCCGGGTGTAGGAGGTTGTGCAGTTTCAGTAGAAGGCAGTGGTACAGGAGGAGCGACAGGGAAGATATGTATGGGAGCCTTCTCGGATGACTCTACTGTTGGCTCAGATGGTGCCGCGGGTGGAGAGTCAGCAGACTGCTCTGAGATCGGACTTTCGATAGGCAATAGCGACCCTTCAGTATCCTCAACATTGATGAGCCTGAACTGATCAGCATTGGTTTGTTCCTCGATGTGTTCTTCTATCTCTGTCGGTGCGACCGACGTCGAGGGCTCGACAATGGCCCCATCATTCTCCTGAACAACGGGAAGCGGTCCAGAGACCTCGAGCGTAGACTCCACCTTGCCTTCAGTGGACTCTACCTTGGCTGGCGAAACTGGCAGCGGAACATCTTCAGCCTGCTTCGAACTGATGGAAGCATCGGACGTCGATGGCTCAGTCTTTTCAATCTCAGTCGCAGCAGACTGGGCAGCGTCGGTCTTGGCCTTGTTAACCTTCCTTCCGCCCTCCTTGCCACGCTTCCCCTTCTTCTTGGTCTTCTCACCAACGTCAGCATTCTCATTCGCCAGATGTACGTTCTCTTCCCCGTCAACTTGGTGTGAGAATGTTTGAATAGCGAGAGACTCCCCATGTACAGATGGTGCGCTCTGTATACTCATCTTCGCAGCAGGAGTATCCTCCTCGACTGCATCGGTCAACAGCTCCTCTTGTTCGACAAGCTCCTTTTCCTCGGTTGCGAGAACTTCATACCTATTCGACTTCAACGAAGCAGAAGATGCAGAAGAAACGGGAGAAACGGGCGACTTCGACCTAGTGGGGATGGATCCGGCGGTAGCTATAGACGTGCCTTGCGACTTCGGGTCGACAGGAGCGACTTTGGAGAAAGCGAAAGGCGGGCCCCATAATCCATCCCACTCTTTCCTCAACTGCGATATGGGAATAGCGGTATCGTTCTCGGATCCTGTCGCGGTCATGGTGGCTGTTGGAGTTTCGGCGACTTTATTGTTATTGAGGACGGTAGCAACAGAAGCAGATTTGGACTGTCCTCCAGTGGCGATGTTGGTCTCAGAACGTGTCTCAGTCTTCTTTAAGGTCTGCTTGACTGGCGCGACACGCGAACCTTTAGTATCTTCCGTCTCAGGATCATCGAACATACCAGGCCACACACCGTTCACTCGATCTTTCTCCATCAAAATCGCGACAATGTCCCTCAGTTCTGCACCATCAGGAACGCCATGAATCTTAGCCAGAATCTTAAGTTCATTCACCGTTTTACTACTGTAATGTTCAAGACTGACTGCCTCTGAGTAAGGTGTTCTAGCCGCGGTGTTAATGTTCGCGGGAAGCGACATTATGGCTGAGGATTGTGCGGGTACGGGATTCGTGCTAGTTTTGATTCGAAAAACTTCTAGTCCGAGATGGCTGGTTGCAGTGTGGGTGGATTTTGAGGTGAGTCGGTAAATTCAGGAGAGGAGAGCGCTTGTAAGGATTTCTAGGATTATAATAGTGAGAGTGTGGGGTTGCGTTGGTATGTAGCGGAGGGGTGCGCGCGCCGATCTAGGAGTGAATGTGCTTTGATAATGGTCTTGTGATTGAAGAATTGGCTGAGTTATTGTGTAATAGGGTGTGTTCTATGGAAGCGAGTTACCAGTCCCATGATTGATACCTCTTGGTGGACGGTCGAGCTTTCGCGTAGAAGGCATTCACGCATGATTACAGGTCAGCCGCCACGACAATGGAAAAGTAAAACGAGGTTTTCACCTAGCTCGGTAATACGGTTCTGAATGACGCTGCTGATAGCTTGAGTGATTACCAAGACCAAATGTAACAGAATATGCGGAGAGAGTATCGGAACTTGGGCGGGTGGAGACGACCTACATGGTCTGAGGCTGCGCCTACGCAGACACATGTCCAACAAAATGATTTGCGTTGAGATTACAAGTGAAAATATATGAGGGGTATCTTAAGGACTATACAACGGGAAAGACTGCTTCAGCAGGAACTCGGTCTGCGCCACAATGAAAGGTAGGCATTCATCATAAGACGCAAGGATGAACCACTCAATCGAGAGGGAAACCAAACTTACGGCATCACCGGAATCTTTGTAACCCAGTCCTCCACTACCCAGCCGTTATCTTGATATAACTTCTGCAAGTTTGATCGAAATTGCGCTGCTTTCATAACAATCTCTACGACACTCCTTTCGCGCAAACATCCACCCAGCGGACGAGACGGATTAGGCTTGCAATACGTTGTGAAGATCTTCTCGAAAACTTGCGGACCTATATGACGGTTAGTATAGAAACGCGAGACTCGACAGAGAAGATGAAACGTACCAGCATAACGCTTCAAGCCGTCGAGTAAAGCGGTCTCTTCTTGTTCAGTCCATTGTTGGCTGTCGTCCAATGTCGAAGCTTGACGATGTGGAGGAGCAGACCGAGATGTAAAGACCGGTAGCCGCTCGAAAACGACACCGTTGGCGTCTTTTTCTTCCAAGTCTTCGAGCCTTGTGATGGCCAACTTCAGTCTTCTATGCGGATCAGTTTCACAGAGCATGCGCTTGATATGCAGATCCTGCCAACGTTTCCACCGCTGCGTTTGTGCCTCGAGAGACATGGTCTTGCGGTCTTCCTCCTCTTTCTGCTCTTTCATCTTGCGATCGAGTTCTGCTTGCTGCTTGCGATGTTGTTCCGTAGCTTCAAGCCTACTCAAACATCTGCGATATGTCTTGTCTACGTGTCGAAGATGTGCAATGAGACTGATATCCACGTCCTTGATAATTCTATCACCCTTGAAGTGCTTGGGAACAAAGACATTCCAGTCCGCAATCGTGTCCTTAAATGCCAATATCTGGCGTATCAAGGGCGACAGTATCCGCAAAGCGTCTAGTGAGTCGGTCACTGCACCGTCGTTGTCGTCCAGCCAAATATATAGTGCTTCGAGGTATAGTATGACAGCACGGAAGACATGGCCATACGCGTCACCTTTGAAGGCGCGCTGGTCTTTCTCTTTGACACGAGCGTTGATCTTCCTGAGAATTTCTTGTAATTCATTAACATCTTCAGCAACTTGCTCCGTCGGTATATCGCTATCCTGAAGGTGGGTGCGGTGTATGTTGCATTTACGGATGATCGAAGTAGCGATCTTAGTTTCACACTCTCCTGGCCGTGGCTTAAGGTTGAGGAACTCGAAGATGGTTTCAATACTTCCAGGCTGTCCTGTAGGACGTACTGTCTTGTGACCGTCGTCCGAAATGCTTTCAGATCTCTCTGCATCCGGCTCACGCTCGGACTCGTAATCGGACTGGGCACTTCCAGACGCGCTTTCGATCTCTATGACATTGGCTATTTCTGAAGCTTTCTTGGATGGTTTTGCGTAGATCTGGGGTCCTCGCTTCCTGGCCGGTAACGGCTGACTGGTCACTGTAGTATCATTGGTAAGTTTTCTTCGAGATTTTAGTTTTGGTGCTGCACGTTTTGGACGTGAGCCTTTCTCTTGTACAGGATCGTCGGCGATTTCTTGCGTTCCTTGTTCGTGGTTACTGTAATCCACCTTCTCTGTGGTGCTCTGCTCTTGCGATCTCCGCCGGACCGGAATTCGGACCCGTGGATGAGCCTTCCTTGATGAGACTGATTCCGCAGTCGCTTGCCTCTGTTCTCTCTGACATTTCGCAGGTCTATCATCACCGTGTTCCGACTCTGATTTGCGTTTCGATATTGCTCGTGTGTTGGCAAGATGCTCTAGCGCATCAGACGGTCTTTCGCCCACACTGGGTGGTTGCTCATGACGAGTGTTATCGACGGCTACGGTATCGCTTTGCGACGGAACGAGTCGAGGCGGTGAGGAACGTAGGTCAGTCTCTGCTGATACCAGGTCTCCAGGCAAAGCCAAATTCTCCACCAGCTCTTCGGGATCCACCTGCAATCCGCCTTCGGTCTGCACCGGAAGCTCCGACGAAGCTACAGGAGCATCACTCGACACGTCCACTGCTTTCGCCTTGCCTTTATTCTTTTTCTTCTTAAGGATCTTCAAGGGCTTGTGGTTGACCTTCTCTGGTAATGCATATCTGCCCTTCTCAGGGCTCAGCTCAATCTCGTACGGGTCACCTCTAACCGCTAGATTCTGTTTTGAGCTCTCATCCCTCTTCAGGCTGACCCGCTTGAGTTTTCCCTGGCCTTGTTTCCCCTTCCACTCTGGAAAGCTAGGAGGGTTTATGCGCGCTGCGTTGAGGAGGTTTGCGCCGAGGACCGCGGACGGTGCGGGCAAGTCTGGGAGTGGGGAATGGGATTCGGTGAGGAGCTGCTGGGTTGCGGCGTCGTCGTCTGAGGAAGGCGAGGGGGGTTTGCGAGCTAGTGTACTAGTGTTAGTTCAGGACGCGTCGGACGGAAGCTTCAGCTATGTTTATAATAGGTAGCGGCCATGGAGAACTTGGTGCAAACACCTGGCAGCTCTACTACACCACGAGCTCGAAGCTGCGATGACGTACCTCCCTGTTTCGACGGCGTCATCTTGAAGCGCGCCATCAGTGAGCGTTAAGAACGCTATTGCATCTGTGTTGATGAGCCTCGGCGATGTCGGCGATGTGGGGGAGTGAAGTCATCCCCACGCTCAAAAGCAAGAGGAGGCTGGAGCGCCGGGCGCGAAAGTGGGCCTCAGACACGCTATCACATGAGATCGTCCCTGCGCCTGCCCACTATCGATAACCCACAAACTATCACCACACCCCCCATTCCGCCATGTCATCGAATCCTTCTAAAGCACCCGTACTAGAGCTACTCCGCAAAGATGCATCGCACAGTTTCGAAATTCCCGCGAAACGTATTCACGATGGCGACGATGTCACTTTCTTCCTGGCAAGCAGAGCCTATGCCGATATCATGACTTTTATCTTCCAGCTCAACACAGCTATGATACCCCGAAAGATCAAAGAATCTCAAGAGCAAGGAGGCAACACAGGTTCATTCAAAGAATGGAAATTGAACGATCCAGACGTTCCTCATCCCCCCGTTGTTGCAAACCTCGCCAAGCTTCTCGACACCCTGGCCTCCATCATCGACGAGGCACCGCCAGACCCAGGTCCGCGTCGCTTCGGAAACGTCAGCTTTAGAACCTGGTATGATATTGTTCGAGAAAGGGTGCCTGCACTACTAGATCAGTATCTACCCGAACAAGTACTCGCCTTCAAATCCGCGTCTGATGTCTCTGCCAAACATGAACTAGAAGCCTATCTCATGGGCAGTTTTGGTAGCTCTCAACGTCTCGACTACGGTACAGGCCATGAACTCAGTTTCCTTGCTTTTCTAGGCTGTCTCTGGAAACTGGGCGCTTTTCCTCATTCGGAAGATGGCGAGCAGGAGCGCGGTATCGTTCTTGGAGTAGTGGAACCATATCTTGCTCTGATACGACGGCTTATCTTGACGTACACACTTGAACCCGCTGGCTCCCACGGTGTATGGGGGCTAGACGATCATTCGTTCGTTCCGTATATCTTCGGCAGCGCGCAACTCTCTCCCGCTATCGTTACGCCTGCAGATGTCGCGGCAGAAGGCTCGTTACCGACTGCTCCTAACCCAGGCGACGTGGCCAAAGCCACCGCTGTAGCCCGAGAGCGAACGCGGAATATGTATTTCAGTGCCATCGGCTTCATCTACGATGTAAAGAAAGGACCATTTTGGGAACACAGCAATATCCTGTATGACGTCTCTGGTGTTAAGGCAGGATGGGCCAAAATCAACAAAGTAATTCACACTGCTTTCCCTACCAGAATGCATCAAACTGACAATAGTTTTAGGGGATGATCAAGATGTACAACGCAGAAGTTCTTTCCAAATTCCCTGTAGTCCAGCACTTCCCGTTCGGCTCGCTTTTCTCCTTCTCAGCGGATCCGAATGCGAAAACCATTCAGGCAAGTGTTCATACTGCCAGTCAACCTAAGTCGAGTACACCGTCTACCACAGCACCTACTGCTCGACCGGGCCCACAGTCTGCGTTACGGGATCCGATGGCTGACCCTATGGGTGGAGCAGCTAGGGGAGGTGGAGTTGGTACTGCTGCGCCGTGGGCGGGTGCTGGGGCTAGAACGGCGGGTGCTGGAATGCCTCCAATGACGGCCGCGCCGTGGGCTACTGCTGGTGCTAGTGCTAGAGGTACAGGTAGTACAGATGTACCCAATGGTCCGAATCAGCCTACAAAAGCGCCTTGGGCGAGTAGAACGCCTGCTCCGCCACCGACAGTAGGTGGCACTACAGCACCATGGGCAAGAGGGAATGCAGGGGATACGCAGAATGCCCAACCAAGTACGAGGGCACCTTGGGCGGATAAGAGATAAGATAGGGCAAGATCAAAAAACAAGACATTAGACACATGTAGCATGTTTTCGTGTACGACATGTACGATATGAGACTCGAATTTGTCTATTATAAGAAGCTTGGTAAGGTCATGACCACAAACTACAGAGTCATGCACTACGCACCCCACGGTGTCGCAAGCTTCCACCAAGATATCGTTCTTGGGTTGTCTATCCTCCTTTTCACACAATCAAGCAACATTTTCCATCAATCCTGCCCCCACCGTTCGTCCCCTCTCTCTAAGCACGACCCTCATTCCCTCCTCCACCGGTAACTCCTTTTCCAGTTGCACCACCACCCTTGCTACCTCACCTGGCTTCACAATTCTCGGCTTCTTCTTCACAACCTCTCCTGTAAACTTATTAAGCTTAGCGCTCAGCGTTCGAATTCCTGCAGGTGAGTTGAGTGTGCTCCTAAAGACTTCCACCGGCATAGGCAGTACGTGTTCGAAAGCGAGGAGCTTGGACGTAAATGCTTTGACAAGTTTGACAGGATCTTTGGGGGAACAGACAATGTCTCCCTGACGAAGGTGAACGGGGTCGATGTCCGTGAGGTGGAGGGTAGGGATTTGACCGCAGACAGCCCAGTCCACGGGTGCGTCTTGCACTTCGATAGATTTTATAGTTGCGGTTTCATTGGCAGGGAGAGCGAGGATAACATCGCCCACTTGTAAGGTTCCGGCATCGATACGGCCTGATATGCTTAGCGGTGAACGGATATCACCTCGGAAGACGTCAGCAACAGAGAGCCGAAGTGGTTTCGTGAGGTTTCGGGTTGGTAGATCGATTCGTTCTAGAGCTTCTAGCAGAGTCTCGCCAGTGTACCAATGTGCGGCCGAGTTTTCGATCTTCTTGACGACGTTTTCTCCGGTCAGACCAGCTAGGGGTATGAATGTTATCCGCTTTTCGAGGAAGCTTGCTTCGGTGAGGAAGGTGGTCATGAGTTTCGAGATCTCGTCGAAGCGTGATTTCGACCATCCGACTGTATCCATCTTATTCACGGCCACAACAATATGTTGCATACCCATGCTTCGTGCAATTAGAATGTGTTCCTTCGTTTGACCCTTGAGACCAGATTCGAAGCTGTTGGTGCTTGCGTCGATGACAAGGACGGGGAAGTCGGCTTGTGATGCACCCGAAATCATTCTTGGTATGAAGTCCTTATGACCAGGCGCATCCAGTATTGTGAACACGCTCCTGTCTGTCTCGAAGTAGTTTGTCGCAATGTCGACGGTAACACCACGACTCCGCTCTTCGCTCGTTTCGTCCATGACCCACGCGAGCGCGAATGATGATTTGCCAATAGTTTCTGCTTCTTTTCGTAATTTGTCTATCGATCGCTGATCGACAACATGAAGATCGTAAAGCAATCGCCCCATGAGCGTACTCTTACCGTGGTCGACATGTCCTGGAGGAGTTAGTACTCTAATGACGAAGGACGAGTAGGGGTTGCAAGAGTCTACTCACCGAGCACTACAAAATTAGCCATCCGCTTCGAAGCGCTCTTTTCGAACTCGTCTACAACGTTCAAGTTCTTGCTCTTGACTCTTGGCTCATCGGCCACGGTAAGCTTCTCGACCGACTCGGCTAAGTCACCGTTGATCTGCTTTTTCTTCTTCTTTGGTGTAGTTCCTGTATGTCTTAGAGAGGTTCAAATGAATTTGCCAAGAATCTAGTGACGTCCGCCGCCTGCGCCCTTTGCCTGTGCTGCCCGCACAATATCGTCCGGGCTTGGTCCAGCAAAGGCTCCTGTGCCATCATAGGATTTGTACGCAGCAAAGGGTATCGGCACCTCTTGTAGCGGTGCTTGTGTGTGCTTTGACGTTTCGTCGGGCCCACAAAGGGTGGAGGCGAACATAGAGGCTGTAGCGCGTTGAGCAGGCGATTCGACAACGACGGCAGGCTGAGGAGCTTGGGGTTCTTCTATTTCGGGTTCTTTGGGTGCTTCTGGTGCTGGCGATGGCGAACGTCTGCGGACAGGATATCTGGAAAGTCGAGCTGGGCGCTCAGACTCGCCACTATCGCCGCCAGGATTGCCACTCCCTTGGTTCTTCACCGAGAGCTTATCGAGCATGGCGATGGCCGAGTCGGCGTCATTGTTTGCCTTGGACGCAGCAGCTTCCGCATCTTCGCGCTCCTTCCTCCGCTTAGCCGCAAGGGCGGCTAGTTTCGAAGAGCCTCCAAGCAAGCCGCCTTTGTAGTGGGGGGCATCGACGGTGATGACGCCTAATCGTTCGGGTGGCACGTTGCCCCAGGGCACATCCCAGAAGAAGTCTGTGACAGCAGCGTTGGTAGGCATCGAGATTGGGGCAACGGTAGAGGATGGGCAACAGGACGACAGGGCAGCAGACTCGTCTACATAGCTAGAATGGGGTGCGAGTGTGAGTGTGCTTACCTGTGGTTGCGGGCGCGTTCTGGTCTGCTACACTTGCAGCTTGGTCGAAGCGCGACACTGGTTTTGCCTTTTCCTGCTTGGGCGCCTCCTGCTTCGGCTCTGCGACCCCGAGCTTGTTCTTCAGATAGCTCACGCTCTTTCCGATGTCGTAGTAGTAGTGCCATAACGCTTCTTGTATTTGCTCATCGCTCGTGAAGTCGCTCATGTCTCCTAGCGCCTCGCGGACTTTGACGGTGCCCACACGCATCTGCTCTTTGTCGTCCTCCGTCATGCCATCTCCTCCCGCATCGACGTCCCCGGCGTCGTCTTCGAAGTAGTCATCGTCGTCGTAAATATCGTCGTCATCGTAATCGACGTTGCGCGTGCGCGAGAAGCCGCCTGCAGGCATTGTGGGTATTTCTTGATTCGTCGGTGCGTGTGGGTTACGGGCAGGTTGACTTGTGTCGAGTGCACCCTCTGGTATCGAATTGGTGCGCAGGCGTGTAGAGTTGTTGGGGCCAAATAGCTCGCGGTTTCTCTACCTAGTGTGAATTATCGCGTCCCTTCATTGACGTCGTTGGTGGGGCGACTTTCCTTGACGTGTAGCGCGGCTGCTATTGCCCCGCGCTAGTTGGGAGCTTTCAGCAATACAATGACGATGATTCGTCTAAGTCACTTAGGCAGACGATCAAGGTAGAAATCATGAAATTGTTCGATTCAAAGTCAAGCTCGCCTACAGCTCGACACACCTATTGAAAGATACAGCAGTGGGGTATAGTATTAGTGGAAAATCACAATGCTGAAAACGAGGCCTGACACCCGCGCCCTTCGCCTGTCGGTATTCAAAATGTTTTTTGTTCGCGGGCCTCTCAGCCCACTATTTTATGTCACGCCTGTAGTCTCCTGAACTCAATGGGGACGTCTCTATTTCTCTGCCTTCTCTTCAGCGGCGGCCGGGGCAGCAGGAGCTGCGGTAGGTTCAGCACTAGGCGCAGGAGCGGCAGCAGTGGTGGGAGCCGCTGGAGTAGGTGCGGGAGCAACAGGCTCCTCAGCCTGAGCGGCGGGAGCAGGCGCCGCAGCTGGTGCAGCTGGTGCAGCGGGCTTGTCCTCGCCGAAGTTGGGCTCATCAAACATAGGTCCGCTTGTAGCGCTCATACCAGCAGCGGGCTGGCTGCTAGGAATGGCGGGAAGATCCAAAGGGGCAGCTGGTGCAGGTGTATCCGTCGCCTTGGCCTCAGTGTCCTTTGGTGCCTCGGTGGCTGTGGGCTGAGCCTCAGCAGCGGTCGGGGGAGCGGGTGCAACGGCGCCAACGGGTTCGGGTGCTGGAAGAGGATGTATTAGTCTAGGGTATCTTGAGTGACAAAGGAAATTCGTAAGAGTTCGAGCGGGAAGGAAATGTAGTATCTGGCCATAAGGTCGTAAACGAGCTGGTGGAAGTGCGATAAGCTTGACCAGCCATATCGTTGCAGGTGTTTTCCCACGCCTAAATGGGATCGTTCCACTGACTGCGGTCCAAGCCGACTTTCTGTCGTCGCCTGGATCCATGCCAGGCATCGTCTCCACGATACGGTAGCGGACTAGAATGTGAAGGAGATGATAACCTACTCGACGTGGCCTGCTTGACTTCGGCCAATGCAGCGGCTTCATCCTTCTTCGCCTCACCCTGAGCAGGATCCGAGGCTGGAACCGCTGCGGGTTCAGCAGGCGCCGGGACTGGCGCAGACGCAGACGCTGGGGCAGCAGGTGTCGTCTCAGTCTTCGCGGGCTCGAGGACGGGTGCGGGAGCGGGTGCAGCTGGCGTAGTCTCGCTAGGCTTGGTTTGCGCAGGCGTAGTAGAGGCCTCAGAAGTGGCCGTGGGCTTTGGCTCTTCCTTCTTGGACTTCTTGCCCTTGAAGAGACCCTTGAAGGCCTTCTTCATCTGATCCATCGCGTCAAGTGCTGTGGGAGTAATGTGTCAGATAACGATTCTGTAGGTGCTAGTGATCGCACGGAGCAGTCTCGAGGATGATGGCTTGTGGGCAGGTAGACGTTTGTGCACACATGGGGCACGTAGATAGGCAACCACAATAAGGAAGTTTGCGCATCCGATCGAAAAGCGCGACTAGTCCCAAGATGGACGCCATTCCCACGGTGAAGGTGAAGGTGAATGGGGGTTGCACTTACGAACTCCCGGCATGCTGATGACGAGTTCTAGCTGGCTGCTAGATAAGCGCTTAAGGGTTGGGTATTAGCACGAGGGAGCGGAAAAGGATAAAGGTGACAGCGATGCAGTCAATGAGTAGCTAAAGCCGGCGGGTGCCTAGGTAGCGCAAGGAGCGTGATGATGATAGCAAAGAGCGCGAAGGATGTCAAGTTGACGAAGCTCTGTTGTTCTGGCCGGGATCCTGAGACGCTAAGCCAATCGTCTCCACCTCCACATTCATGCACGCCGTTATGCACCATGCAACCAAAAATAGCCGCCTACTGCACCGCTATCTGCATGCAATTAGTGGCCGTTGTGTTTCATCTTCTATCGAGTACATGACAGGTATGCAAGACACCATGGCGTTGGTTATCAGGTACAGCCCGCCTGGCTTGTTGCCAGCGAGGCCTCCCAACACTGCAGAAATTAATCCCTCTTTCAGGCTAGCGCTTATCCCCCTGCATTGGGACAACTTATGAAGATCACATTTAACTGATGTTTGTCTCCACCACGTGAATTATACCACCTTGCACTCAACATGGATGTCGGAAACGCGACGACTGTAAACGGGCAGCTTTCTGCACCGTTCGCAGCACTGCAGCACAGTCTTATCGCGCAATGCATCGTGGCCATCGCGGTAGTTTGCATCTGTACTCGGATTCTTTCCGGGCATACCTTCAGATCCATCAAATACGGAAAGGGTCGTAATGTCTTACCTCCAACACTTCCGTATTGGATACCTGGACTGAAACACGCCTTGTCTTTTGCTTATGATTCGCATGGCTTCCTAGCCAGATGCTTGTAAGTATCGTCCTCACATCACCATTGAAGCTGTCCATTGACGACCACCACGCGATCGTCGCAACATGGCGAAACTAACATTGCAACAGGAACCAATATGGCGATGGTTCGCCTTTCTATCTAGATGCCGCAGGTCAGAAATTACTTGTCGTCTTAGATCCAGAGCACGTCAGAGGCGTGCTCAATTCCTCATCCGAATGTGATCCAAACCCGTTCATCCACGACAAGATCATGGGCGCTTTGATGGGAAGCCCACAAGAAGCCATCGACCATTACAAGTCCGAGAATGGTAATACAGATTACATTCAAACAACACACATCCGACAGCATACCACTGGATCGAACCTTGGCTTACTTGCCAAACGGCTTTTCGATGTCATGAAACGGACCGTCACCGAAAGCTTGTCTTCAATCCCAGAAGGTGAATGGAAGGACATTCCTGATCTCTACGACTTCATCGAATATCACGCATCCTACGGCATTGCCGAAACCCTTCTCGGCACATCCATCATGTATCCAGGAATCATATCCGATCTCTGGATCCACATTGAAGCCACGGATCAATTCTTCATGGGCCTTCCCCGCTTCCTTATCCCCAAAGCCTACGCCGCGCGTGATCGCCTGCTCAACGCCATTAGAGCTTGGACCAAGGAATCCGAAGTGTTACGCAAGCAAAACGCTGTAAACACTACCTGGGACCCCATCGCAGGTTCTGGTCTTCTCCAAGAGAGAGAGGAACTATATAGCAAGATGGCTGGCCACGGTGTGGATGGCCGCTCCGCACAAACCCTCGGCCTCCTCTACGGCGGAACCAGTCTTACCGTGCCAGTAACATTCTGGTACTTTTTCGAAACACTACGCGATCCCTCTCTACACCGTCGCGTGCTCGATGAAATCAGGAATGGTGTCAATGAAGAGACGCAAGGCTACAGTTTTATGCAATTGAGCGCGCGGCCTTTGTTGCAGTCTCTTCATGCGGAGACGACACGAATGTATAGTTCCAACCTCGCTGTAAGAGAAGTCACAGCCCCGACATATGTGCTTGACGAGAAATACACTATACCAAAAGGCACCGAGGTTTATCTCTCTCATAAGTACAATGGGCAGTTCACCCCAGGGTGGAAGGCTGCAAGGCCTCAGGCTACTGCGAAACCCCTGGATACTTTCTGGGCTGAACGGTACTTGGTCAGCGGCAGCGGGAACGACGACAAAAGGGGAAAGTTCAGCGATGCAGGTTTGAGTGGTAATTAGACTTCTTTCGGGGGCGGAGAACATAAATGTCCTGGAAGGCATTTTGCCCGCAATATCGGTATCGTAACGTTGGCAATCTTCATGGGCGAATTCGAGATTGAGGTAGTTGATATGGAAGGGGCACGAGCTTTGGATCCGGGGAACAAAAAGAAGGCTTTTGGGACAATGAGGCCTAAGCAGAAAATTGCGGCGAGGATTAGGAAGAGGGTATAGGTATTGTCTGATAAGTGGAGAGTGTGGATATGTCTGAGCGATATTCATTTATCTCGCTGTCTGGTATACTCTATCGACTGACAAAAGCTTGGTATATTATCTACTTTTCAAGTCTCGCAGCCTTGCTCTCATCTCTCCACCACTCACATTGCTTCCTCCTAATCCCATCCCCTTCAACCCTAGTGTTACCGAAAGGCTCCATCCTCAACTGCAACCCGGGCTTACCCTCACCTTCATCCGCATAGAGCGGCCAGTATGGCACACCTGTCCTGTTGCCGGCATTTGGATCACCTAACGCAACAAAGTCGGAAAAGTAAGCATTCAACAACTCCTTGCCGACTTCGGGGTACTGAACACCGCCAGCACCGGCTGGCTCAGCCCAAGTGTACTTTGTGTCGGCGGTATGAGGTATTCCCTTCCAAGTGGGGAACGTGTTGTTTGTAGCGAAGACCATCTTATGCACCGGTACGTCGGCAGCGGACATACGGAGAGCAGTTTCTTGGCCGGCGCAAACGTACATGTAGTCTGTTAGGGCGGCCGAGAGACGGTTGTATTGAGTGGAGTTGGAGCTGTGGACGTATGGCCCACTGTCCAATCCTGTGGGGTCGGGGTATAGCTCCTCAAGATCAGAGAGGTCTTCGGGTGTGAGACCGGGGATCAGGTTCTTCATGAAGGCAAGGAATTCATCATTGGTCTCAATGTCGCCGGGTGAATAGTACTTTGCTTCATCAGGGACGTTGGTCGTGATGGTGGGGATGCGGTAGAATTGGCCGTTGACTCCGGAAGTTGAGCCGGCTTGTTCGAGAAGGGGGCCACCACGGGTGGGCTGGAATGGCCATGTGATGGCATATTCAGAAGCGCGCCATATCAGAGCGCTAGCGTTCTGAATGGCAGCAGCGGGGACAGAACGCAAACAGCTGAGGATTTTGGTATCGGTGCTGTTGGCCACAGCGCTGCAACCTGTAAGACCTAGGTATCGCGAGAACTGCTCTTGGTACAGTGGGTAAGATGCGTTGGGGAACGCTCGAGCGGTCACACTGCCGGATTGGAGAAGAGCTTGGGAAAAGAGTGGTGCGGCGCCCTCAGTGGTGTTGTAGTTGTGGAACAGGTGGATGCCAACTGAGTGCGCACCAGCGGAACGACCTCCAATGGTGACGCGAGAAGCGTCGCCTCCAAAAGCGGAGATGTACTTTTGAACGAATTTGAACAAGGTCTCCTGATCTCGAAGACCCAGGTTGAGAAGTCCTTCGCGCTCAAAGACTGGAGAGGGGAGGAAACCCCAAGAGTTTACCTGTATAACGTTAGGCTTGATTGTACAGAAAAACATGACCATACTTACTCTGTAGTTGAAGTTGACAACGATCAACGGCTCCTTTGAATTAGCCACGAAACTTGGGCCATCGAAACTCCTAGCACTACCAGCAACGAAACCACCCTTTTAAAGTCAAGTCAGCAACCGCAGCACATACCCAATTCTTCTCAAAAACTCACACCATGTATCCAGATCAGCACAGGCAACTTCTCGTGCGCGCCAACACCCTGCGGTCGGAAGACGTTCATGCTCAAACACGCCTCATCCATCTCGTACGTAATATCCAATGGATCCTGGTAACACGAGTATCCATAGCTCGTTGCATTCTTAACACCATCGAAAGGCTCTGGCGCCCCAACAGGCGCGAACCTCCCTTCTCCAACGGGCTGAGAAGCATAATCGATTCCGAGCCATGCGTCTACAGTGCGTGGTAGAGGTTTCTTGGTCAAAGTCTGCGAGACTGTCGTGCCGAGGAAAGTGCCATAGCCGGGAAGCGTGACTTCGGATGTGTTGTATGAAGCTGAGACGCCAGACAGGCTGGTGAGCAATGTGACTGTGGTAAGAAGGCGCTGAGCCATGTTGTGTTGGCCCATGATGGCGTCAATGTGGGAAAGTAAGGTTGACACAACACGTTCGCACAACAACGAAGCTACGTCGAGCGAAGCCATCATGGAAGTGTATATAACGCCATTTGATGCCTGCGCATAGTTCCGAGATCGGTCATACAACCTTGTAACTGCCCTGTATTCGTATTGATGTTGACTCCACTACCGTCTCCACTACCCCACAGTCTGGTAGTAGTCAGGTCTTGGTACCTGCTTCATGCGGCGGTGAACGAGTAACGCGGAGATACGCGTTATGCCGACTCGTTATCTTTGCATCGGGAATTTACCGGTACTTCTTTAGGAGCCGATCGCTATCATCGGATCGCATCCGACGCGACGGATGTTGATAAGTGTGGAGATGGGAAGATGCAGGTTGAGCGAGCGAGTGAGCGGAGGTTGCCCGAACCGGGAAAAGACACCCCGAAGCCGAGCACCCTAAGCATGATGGAATGGCAACAACAATACATAGGTACAGCGTTCTGCTCACGACTCTCTGTTACGCTAAACACCTTTCGAAGTTGACACTTTTCCTTATACCATTCGGCACACCCCAGCCTATTTTAAGGAATAGTGGCCCGTATAGGTTGGTGGTTGCGTCAGAATAAAGCATTCCTTGAGTCCCAGTTCCAGGCAATGGCGAACAGCCTTCCAAGACAGGAAGTATCTAATAAAAACAACCGGAGAATATGCTATACTCCATACTCCGTATCATGAGCATCGTCATCGTTGCAAGCCTCCACTTTACGAGCCTCCATCAAAACCCTTGTCTAATTTCTTCAGCGCCTCCTCAACCTCTACTGCCCTCTCTTCATCACCCCTCAAGCCTTGTACTCTAGGCAAGCCACGCATAACCTGTTGCACCATATCCTCTAGTGCCTTCGGATCCCTCAAGCCACCGCTCATCCTCGCCATCTCACCCAACGCAGCAGTAGTAGTAAGGTCGCTCTTGCCTTTACCCTTGCTGTTGCTATTGCCCCCGATATCTGAGCGAGACGTTAGTGGCTGGTTCTGACTCTGATGCGCAGGCGAAGACTGAGGTTGACGCTTGCGCAACATCACCTGGCCTTGTTTATCCATGTAGGTTTCGTACCCTTGTTGGTCGAGCACTTCGTCGGGTACACGGACGTTGACGGGTGATCTGTTGCTGCTGCTGCTACCGCTACCACCATTCTCACTACTACCACTGCTTTCGCCTGGGACAGCCGTGTTTGGATTTGAACTCGATGTTGCTTTAGGTTTGGCGTTGGCATCTTGATTGACCTTTTCCAGAGCGTGGATGCGGTCTTGATTCTCCTTGTTGCCTTCCATGAGGAAACGTAGACACATTATCGCGTGTTCCCGAATATATGGGTTATGCTCGTCGTAGGAACAGCAGTTGAGTACTGCTTCGATACCGCCGAGGGGACGGATTTGGTCTTGAACGTGCTTATTCTTCCACACTAGAGAGCTGAGGACGAGAACGGCGAGCTTCTTGAGATTGCGCCATTCGAAGTCGGAGGGTTCATCAGCCGCTTCATCTATGTATGGTCGAGGTGACGGTGAAGTTGGCGGGGGTATGTATGGTTCAGCTGCAGCAGCTGTAGTATCATATGGCCGCTCAACAGCGACTGGCTGCGGCTGTGGTGGCTGCTGCTGCTGTTGCTGCTGCTGTGGCGAAGGAACATCCACCTCTACCGGTGCTGGGGGTGGTGGAGCATGCTGAACATTCCTCAAGGGAGGCGGTGATAGCTGACCCTTGGGTATCGCTGCGTCTAACTCTTTCAGAAGGGTTACCAGTTCGTGAGAAATTTCCCAGTTGCTCAACATCCTCTTCCACGTCTCATGTTCTGTGAGAATGGCAAAGAACTCTAGGTATTGATAGACACCTTCATACATGCGCTCCATATCCCAGAGGTTCAGAGGAAAGTCTTCCGGCTGAGCATGGCCTGCGCGAATTTGGCCTTGAAGGAAGATGAGAGCGCATGTTTGAGGAATGATATGACGACGGAACTCAGTAAGTAGAAAGTTGACCATATGGACATCGCCTTGGTCCACTTGTGGGTGATTTGCTTTGAGGTGGCCCTTCGTAGGTTGAGCACGGGCTTGTCTGGCGCGGAAGATGTTGGTAAGAAGCTTCATGATGACTGCCTGAGCCGGAGAGATGATGTCTTTCGATCTATCGCAGTGTCAGCAGGGTTCTGTCTCTTGGATAAATGTACTTACTCAGACTCCCTAAAGGCATGGTAAGCAAATGGCAGTAGTTGGTTTGCAAGAATAGCTTCCATGATCTTGACCATGAATTTGAAGTACAGCTCTTCCTCGCGTAGATCCCAAGCTGCAACAAAGATCAATAACTCTCTAAGAAGATTTCGGCCATTGTCCTGCGCAAGGAGCAGGTGACACCGCACACCATGCATGCTCCTAACGCTGCTGAAAATAGTCGGGTCCGAGTGATAACCAGGTTGTCCCTCTGTTGGCTCCACAATGCCCGCCATGATTATCATAGGCAAGACTTCAATCTCGGTAGGCCCCAGAATTAGTGGAACATCTGTAAGCAGCCCTCGGCCTTCATCACCAGGTATGTCATCGTAATCGTCATCATTATCACCGTCATCCTCTGGCGGAGGAGAAGTAGGAGACGCTACGTCACTGATTAGCCCTGATGGACGGTCGGGGTCTGGCTCCAGACGCTTAAGCAGATCTTCTTTGCCATTTTGGAGGATCTCCGCACCGAAGGATGGCGGGTATGTCACACGGAAATCGATCTCACCTGCCGGGGGAGACCGTTTGATGCTAGGATCTAGTAACGAGTCATCCATTGCTGGTTTTGAGGACTGCTTCTCCGCTGCGGTTTGGGATGCTTGTTGCTCGCGGCTAGATTCGTCGCCAGGGAGAGCGGTAATCGAAGAACGCATCCTGTCAACCTCGACTTGAAGTTGATTGATGCTCTTTGCCAGTGCTTGTACACTCTCTTCGTTCTTGGCATGTTGGTCTACAACTTTGCGATATGTGCTGGACTGGGTGATCTGATCGCGATACCTGGCAACTACATCCGCGTACAGCATGTTCCATTTCTGGAAGAATTAGTCAAGACCTGGGTAGTGAAGTGGATGAAACTTACGTTCTTCTCTTCCTCGCTCATCGTCTGCCACCTGCGCCTGCATTCGGCAGCAATTTCGTTGGCGCCTGCTTTGACACCATGATGTATCAGGGCCTTTTTGACATCGTTGCCCGTTTCTCCAATGTACAGTAGGAAGGGCGAAGACGCAGGTTGCTGTGGAATTTTGAATGTGTCTAAGCTACGCGCTGCATTTGTTGGCAATGGGTGTTCCTCAGGTGGCGGCCCTTGATCTTGTGGGAATTCATCCATCTTGTACTTCATGTCGGCAAAGTTTGGTAGTTCATTGTCGAGGTGGCTGTCAAACAGTTCGATCCAGAGCATAAGCTTGCGCTGCTCGTTGCGTGCGATGAGGTTGTTGAGGAATTGCAAACATGTGATGAGAAGCTTCTTGTATGCATTGATGACACCCTGCCATTTATCTTCGTCCTGGGTCCCAGCCTCGCCGTCGTAGCCGCGTGCGGTGACTCGTACACAGACATTGATCAGCGCAAAAATGTCCTTGTCGAACAGCCTGTCTGCGCTCAGGTTCTGCACCTTCTCTCCATGTACCTGCACATTCCGGGCTATACACACAAGCTGGTTCAATCTTTCCAGGTCCCTAAGCAGACTCGGGGAATAGCTTGCGATCAACGGACCCGACAGGCCTTCGTATTCTGGGGCGGCAGGATCCGGCGCAGCGAAACATCGACGCTCGAGTGAGGGTATGGCGGCTTTCAGCACGCCCGCAAGATCGTCCCAGAACTCCCACGAGAGGCCGAGTTCTTCGCGCAGTTCCAAGCTTTTCCGCGACTCTTCCAGTGTCTTCTTGACCACGTCCCGCTCTAGCATACGCAACGTATCGTCCCTGACATAGCCTGGGTTGTGGAAATGTACGGTGTAAGGCGCGAGCGCCAGGCGGAGTCGGGTAAGATAGGGTCGCGCATGTATGCCGCCTGAACTCTCTGGGCGCTCAGACTCGCCCATGCTCTCGGTATCGTTGATGCTGCCTTCGGCCATGCCTTCGCTCGTTTCCGTCTTCAGGTCGGGTTGTGACAGCGCGCGACGGTCCCAGTCATTCCACAATTGATTCTCGGCGAGTAGCGATCGGTAGACCCATACACGGATGGGTCCTGGTGCGCGTAGGATGCGGTAGAGGTTGTTGGAGGCCAGTTTTTCGGCAACGTTGTGGTATTGCGCCAGCGCTATGGGTGCAAAGGCGAGGTGAGCAGAGTCTTTGGTCGTGTCTGCAAACGGCGACGAAAGATGAAGAGTCGTAGGCGGCGAATCGGAGTGCGTGGAGGAGCTCGAGTCGGAAGTCATGATTGCAGGCGGCGTTGACCAAAAATTTACACGTCGGCCGCCAGGAGATTACCCCACTATCCGCGCCCCGCCATGACATCTGACGTACTAAACTACAGAGTCGGTGGTTTGCCAGCCTTTTCGTCTGAAGTCGTGCTACATGGTTCCTGCAGCTTCACTCGAATTGTCGCATCCATGTATTCACTCGTGCCAAAACATCAAAAAGTTCAAGTTTCAACATCTTCGATTCATTCATGCCAATAATGGCGTTTGAGATATATATGTACGGAGCATATGAACCTCGAGTAGGCATAGTTTTTGGCCCGGCGAGTCTAGTGGTACCGTTTGTTTTGATCTTGGAACGAATGTAATGTGATTCATGATACATGGGATGGTATCTGTCACGGACATGGATTGTTCCGATAGCAAAGCATCTTTCAGCTTTGCCCTGCGCTGTGAAAATGCGCACATGTAACCCTCAGAAGGGTACGCGATGAGAATATGACATATCAAAGAGAATGGGGATGATAGAAACGTGATGGCGACGTTGTGTGGACATGTTACATACCCTCGGCCTTGAGTCTGGCCGCCATGAAACGGCTCACCTTCTTTGTTTTGCCATCTCGTTCTTCGACAATCGGACTCTCTTCGTCCTCTTCGGTAGCCTTGAATCCACCCTGTCGCTGGATGAATCGATTGCGCGCCTTGTGGTACTCCGCTTGAATCTCGCGGTTCAGAAGAACTGCATCAAACTCATCAGGAGCCTGAGGTTCTGATGGCAAGGGAGCGTGCTCGGTTATAGTGTTGGCTATTGTTCGTCCAACAGGGCCACTTGGTACAGGTGGTGGTTCTGGTACAGAAGGGGTCGGCAGCACCTGGGGGGCAGTGTTTGCTGCAGCACGGGCACTCTTGAACTTGGATACTTTGGCAGGTTTGTGAGGCTCAACTGGTGCTGCAGGAACTGCAGACCGCTCAACGATGGTATCGGACATGGTTGGGGTTGATTTTGCCACTGCCTGGGTAGCTCGAGCCGGTTGCTGTACTGGTTTCGGCGCCTCAGAGATGTCCAGGTTATCGGCAAAGCGTACTCCTTTCTTCTTTGGCTCTTTGGTATCATCTGTTGCTGGCGTGGCCGAGGAGGTGCCCAGAGATTCGTCGAACTGATCGTCACTCTTCACACGCATCGTGCGAATGTCTCCGATGTGCTCTTCAAGAGAGTGCTGTCCCGACTCGGGCCCCACGTTCTCAAGCATACGAGCGCCCAACTTCTTCTCGAGCTCCATCATCTGCTTTCGATAGTCTTCGGTGATGACTGGCTTAGTGCTGCGACCGTACTCGTCTTCCTCTTCTTCATCTTCGGTGTCATAGTCGCCATAATCGTCGTCATCTTCTTCGTCCGAGTATGACGCAGTAGGCTGGTCCAGATCAAGTTCGGCGACAATCTGCCCGATTTCTGACATGCCATATTGCAGCATTTGCCTCCTCAGCTCAGCTTCCTCTGGCGTCTCATCGCTCGGGATGATAGCATTGGACAAGTCTACATCGTCCTGTTCGAGGTCGATGGCACGCGTGCCCTCTGGGAAGAGCAGTGAGGCGACCTTTGCAGCCTCATCTTCGTCAGTGTCTTGTACCGCTTTTGCAGCCGGTTCGACTTCGACTTTTTCGGCGAAGGACACAGCCTTCTTCGAAGGCGCTGATTTTGAACTTTGGCTGTCGGTCGTGGCAGGAGTGGGTTCAGAAGGCAGCGGAGAAGACTTTGGATCTGACACAGTGTGTGAAGCTGGTGTAGTTGGAGACGGTGTGTCTTGAGCCTTCTCTTCTGCATTCTTCTTCTCCAGCTCAGCCTTTTGAATGCCAGCTTTGCGCAGAACCTCAACAAGCTCAGCTGCGGCCTTGCCCGTCTGGTTGACAGAGCTCGAGACTTCGTTGCCCTCATCATCCAGTTCTTCTTCGATGTCCATCATCGGCTCGCCCTCTTCGTTGTCCATGCCTGGCTCCAACAGGACGTCGACGCCAGCAAGCTTCTTCTCAGCGGTGTCAAGATTCTTCTCGATAGTAGCACTACTCGTCCGAACATAGTCAACGCGTCTAGAGATCATGTCAATAACTTGGTTAGCAGTGCGTTCCGATGGCGAGTTCTTGCAGAGCAGCTCCTCAACTTCCTTCTGGTCCAGCAGGGTAAGTTCGAGGTCGCGTGCCATCTCACGTATCTGTGAGGGCGAGGGATCGCCGGCTTCTTGAATCTCTTCTTTCAGCGTCTCATACTCAGCCTCCCAGGTCGTCCAGTGGGAGAGTGCTTTGCGCAGCTTATCGACATTTTGCTGCAGCTGCGCACGACTGCGCTCGAGCTCCTCTAGAGCGCTCTGTGTTGAGGCTGCCATTTTGGTGATGTGGTGGGAGGATGAGTGCGAGAGAGGAAAGAAAGGTGCAGGAATTTTGTGTACGAGAAAAAGCGCAGGTCTTGGCGGCTGGCCCCACAAGGGAAACCATGCTACGCCTGCATACAGATCGCCGGTCTGTCGTTTGTCAGGCAGAAGGAGTACGTGAACCTTACTATCGCTGATATCATCCCATCATATACATTCATAGCTGCCCGGTCATGCTTTCGATCTCATAAAACGACCAGCGGCTTCTACACGCTGAGTCAGCACCATCCTTCAACTTCCCGAGGCCCCATATCCGTCAAGCTTGGAAGCATATCTCCGCCACAACCTCCGCCATGTCGAAATCGCGCGGCGCCGACGCGTCTAAGCAGCAAGATGGCGGTGCGTCTCTCTCCAAAACCCTATACAGCTTGTCTTTGCAGCAAATGCCTCGTTCCATTTCTCTCGCTGACGATGCCTCAGACTCGTGCCCTGTATGCAGGTCGTCGCGCTTCCTTAACTCCAATATGCAGTTCAAAATCAACCCAATATGCTACCATAAGATGTGCGATACCTGTGTAGAACGATTGTTTGGCAAAGGCAACAGTATATGTCCTGTTGCAGGATGCGCAAAGACGCTTGCCTATAGGAACTTTCGGAGGGCAACTTTCGAGGATCTGAAGGTGGAGCGAGAGGTGGATCTCAGGAAGAAGGTCATGAAGATGTAAGTGCGACGTATCGACCCTTGTAAGATGTAGCTGACGGCCATGCAGCATGAACAAAACAGAAGACGATTTTGAGACGCTTAGGGACTACAACGACTACCTCGAGCAGGTCGAAGAGATCAACTGGAATCTCATCCTCAACATCGACGTGGACGCGACCTGGGCGAAATTGAGAAAATTTGAGGCTCTCCAAAAGGCCGAACAAGAAGCCGCCGCTCGCAAAGGCCCTGCACTCAAAGATGATGTTGACGGCGGTTTCGTGATCCGCGGACTCAAAAAGCGTGTCGCGCCACCCGTGGAAGCACCCTTCGATCCATTCGGCGGTTACACCATCGCACCACAATATTACGTACTTCAGGACAACTACGATGTGGACTGGTACGCACGTATGAAGAAGGATTCGGCACATCTGGTGGGAGGACACAGTTTGCAAGACTATTGCAGTCGGACACTACGCGAAGCTTTTGGTGGCCTGGGTGTTTTCGTTGAAGACGAAATCACTGCGCGGGAGGCTCCCTCAATGTCAATGGATGCGGACGTTGGCACAGAGCATGCCGCCGCTGCAGCCATGAATGGAAGGGATGCCATCATGGACGACATTTTCTAGTTTCTTGCACTGTGATACCCGGCATCATGCCAGCATTGGGCGGCGTTCAAGATAGCGTGTCAATAATTCTTATAACATAACTTCTTACTCTCTTCATATTCTACTTCTCCCAACCTGCCCTGCTGCGCCTTGATATCCAATATCGTTATACTCAAACTGCTCTTCCGGCAGCGCATACCCATCCCCTCCCCTCGCCCGTTGGACTCGTGCCGCGACTGGATTTGGATTGACATCCTCCTCTCCCAATCCACCGTCTCTCTTCCCATTCCCACCATCCAGCACATCCAATTGCTGAAAGACGCCTCTCTTCCTCGCGCTCCTCATAACCCTGATGTCCAACCCCAACGCCAGCGCTGTCGCCACAAAGCCCAGCAACGCAAAACTGAACAGCGCCTTGTACATCCTACACACGCTTATCCCTGCCTCCGACTCCCAATTCTGCGCATCGCATACATGTGCCAATGTGCCAGAGCACCACCATGCTAGCAGAGCAAAGGACACGGTCCAGAGAAGTGCGAGGGCGGCGTTGAGGGTGAGGTTGAGGGATGCAGATAGCCCGTGACGGATATGGAGGAAGATTGTACAAGTGAGCGCAGCGAGGGTGAAGAGGGAAACTGACATTAGCTGGGACAAATGTTAGTATTGCGATGCTGTATGTGGTAGGGATACGTACCAGAATGAATGTCCAAGGTAATCTATACCCATCATGCGATAATTCACGAAGGAAATAAAACATGATGCTCGCTACTACAAGTGAAGAAAGTAATTGTGCGCATCGTATGATGTGGAAAGGTAGGAACGGGTAGGCTGTAGGCTTCACCCGGTTCTTGCGCATTGCCATGGTTGGATCGAATGCGCGACGATAGAGACTTGAACGTCTTACGAACAAGACTCAGTATGTTAGACGACGATGGTGGTGTTAGTGGTTGATCAACATTCGCCTCTTCCAAGCTTGAGACGCGGAGAAAGACTAAGTTAGGGGTCCAGCTGGCCTGGCACCCTGGTCTGACCAGCTTTCAGCTTTCTCGTATTGTGATTGTTGCGCCGAAATGGCACCTTACGAAAAGAAAGCATCCGGTCGAGATGCGTGCTCACCATGGCTAGAGACTGATCTTTAGCTAGAAGGTGGGATGAATTTAGTTTTAGGATTGCGAGGTCGTACCTGCTGATAGAGGACGGGACACTGACTAGCGCGGATATCCACGCGCACCTTTCTAGGATGGCTTATCCTCATTCAACAATGCCTTACTCCTTCACATTCTTCATTCTTCCATCCGTAGCTCTGCCGTGTGTGCGTATTTGGACCAATGGTGAGGTGTTCTTGGCGGTGCGCCTGAGCCTTGCGGTCAAGGTCTTTGCACATACTACCATGGCCACTGCTATATAAGACCGATGGAGTGTAATGCGACTCGCGCGTTATGTGCTGTCACGCGAAGGGCTCTTAGTTCCCGCTCATTGCCTCCCGGGTCCACACTGCGGCAGAGCATCCGAAGAGGACTTCGGACCTCAGATTGGTTTCGAGGGCGCGTTCAGACCTCACGAACCTACGGTTTTTCGTTAGGTGCAGTCTGACGTTGCACTGCCACGAGAGCACGACTATGAAAAAGATCGGAGGTCGAAAGGAAGTCATGACCAGGCGTCCGGGTTAATTATCTACTATACCCGGTAGACAGGCGTAAATGCGCAGCCAAAAGTGGGTGCTCTGCCGGTACCTTGTCCCGTCTTGCATCGGATAATAGCAACAAACGATTCCAGGCCGCTCCTGCATATGGAATCTTAGATCTCGGACTCGGCTCTGCATATCGCTAGCATGCATTTCCTAGCTCGGTAGTGCTGACATGCAATTTATATCAAGCTGGTATGCTCGAGAAAGAGCTTTTACGAGGCTTAACGTTCTTCGTCGACCGTATAAACATCTGGAGAACACGGCGGTTCTCTTTACGGCAGAATTATGAAGACATTCACTTCCACATTACTTGTGTCCGTGCTGTTAGGGCATGGCAGCGCAGCAGTCATCGGGCGAGAGGAAGGTCTGCCAGTTAATTCTAGCTCCTACGATTTTGTACGTTGCTTTCAGAAACCTGGAGTCCACACTTCAGCTCTAGGGATGATCTAACAAGCGATAAGATAGTCATCGGAGGCGGAACTGCAGGTCTCGCGGTTGCTTCGCGCATCAGTCTTGGCCTTCCAGATCTCAGCGTCCTCGTCATAGAAGCTGGACCCGATGGCCGCCAGGAACCTGGAATCTCCGTGCCGGGAAGAAAAGGCTCAACACTCGGAGGCAAATACGATTGGAACTTGACCACCATTGCACAACCCAGTGCCAACAACCGCGTCTTCGCGCAGAACCGTGGCAAGGTCCTCGGAGGTAGCTCTGCGCTCAATCTTATGACGTGGGACAGGACTTCCAAATTCGAACTCGATGCCTGGGAAAAGCAGCTCGGTAACAAAGGATGGAACTGGAAGAGTATTTATGCGGCAATGTTAAAGTGTGAGACTTTCCTCCCGTCACCCGCATATGGCACCGAAGGAGTCGGTACAACTGGACCTATTCGCACACTCATCAACAGAATCTTCCCGCGACATCAATCGACATGGTATCCTACAATGAATGCTCTCGGCTTGGCAACAAACCGAGAGAGTCTGAATGGCAACCCCATCGGCGTCTCGACTCAACCCAGCAATGTCAGCCCGAACTACACTCGCTCCTACGCCCCAGAGTATCTCAAACTCGCCAAAGACAACCTGATCTTGAAGCTAGACACCCGTGTGGCTAAGATTGACTTCAAAGGAACAACTGCCACAGGAGTCACCCTCGAAGATGGTACTACAATCACCGCGCGGCGGGAAATCATTCTCTCAGCTGGCTCCTTCCAAACCCCCGGTCTTCTCGAACTCTCTGGTGTCGGAAATGCATCACTCCTTGAGAAACTTAGCATCCCCGTTGTCAAGCACCTGCCATACGTGGGCGAGAACCTCCAAGACCACATCCGCATCCAAGTCTCCTATCAATTGAAACCCGAATACTCTTCGTTCGATGTTCTCAAGAACGCCACCCGTGCGGCTGCCGAGCTAGCCTTGTATAACGCAGACCGCGAGTCACTCTACGACTACACAGCCAGCGGCTATGCATACTTCCCCTGGGGCACTGTCAGCAACGAAACGGCCTCTCAGCTCCGTACCCTCGTTGACAACGACAAGAGCTTGGTTTCCGCAACCGACAAATTGAAGAAGACATACTTCTCCCCGGCTTTGAGCACCAAAGTACCCCAGCTAGAAGTCATCTTCTCAGACGGCTACACTGGCCTCAAAGGCTATCCTGCTGCCAACTCCTCTCAATTCGGCATCGGCACTTTTGCACTGATTGGCGTTGTGCAACACCCTCTCAGCAAGGGCAATGTTCACATCAGCTCCCGGAACGTGAGCGATAAGCCTCTTATCAACCCTAACTACCTATCCCATCCCTACGATCTTGCAGCTGCTACAAATCTCGCCAAATATCTGCGTAAGATCGCCTCTACGAAGCCCATGAGCGAGGTCTGGACCGAAGAGTACGAGCCGGGCAATGCAGTGCAAACCGATGAGGACTGGCGAAAGTATGCGCTAGCGAACACATTGAGTATCTATCATCCTATTGGTACTGCTGCGTTGCTTCCGGAGAAGGCTGGCGGTGTTGTGGATTCAGAGCTGAAGGTCTACGGTACCAGGGGGTTGAGGGTAGTGGATGCGAGCATCATTCCTCTTTTGCCGAGCGCCCATCTTCAGACGCTTGTGTACGGAATCGCCGAGAAGGCGGCAGAGATGATTATTGGTGAGCATAAATAGATGCTGTAGTATTGGAGAATCGATGTGACGCAAGATCTAGAGCTGAATCTCGTCTTCACGGATTATGATGCTGTCTGCATACGACCTAGCGTTTGATGATAGATAGATTCATAATTAGCGCGGGTTCTCAATTGCACGCCTCCTCGACTCATTTGGACTAGTTCCTCTTCCCCGCAGTGTAGGGCCGAGCCGGATGGCGACATTTGAGATGTTGCCGATGCTGACACATTGCTGTGGCACTCCCGCCAATGCGCCCTGTAGATGACACTCCGAATGCCGGCCGCGCATTGCAACGACTTGCTTACCAGATCCAATGCCGACGGCAACACTGACGATGGTTACGACTCCGATGTAGAGGATGACATGCAGGAGACCCCCTCCACAGGAGCTATATAACACAGAGCTGGACCGGGAGACTCTCGACATTCGATCAACAACCCATATCAATTCTTACTACATCAAACACACATTTTCACAAGATGGCGTTCTCAATAGGGATGCCCTGGAACGAGGGCGAAGAGAAGATGCATCACCTCCTCCGCGTTCCACCTCAAGATAATCCAACATCGGCTATGCTCACACCACAAGCCAGTTTTATGTTCCAACGTGCTCCTCTACTCGCACTCGGAACACTGGATGCACAATCTAGACCATGGGCGACACTATGGGGTGGCGAGCCTGGTTTCTCTGAACAGCTTGGTGGAGGCTTCATCGGCACGCGAACACTCGTCGATGGCACGAACGATCCTGTCGTGCAAGCGCTTATGAGTGGAAATGAGAAGGGCGAGATGACTCAAGCAAAAGACGGTGGCAAACTAGTAGCTGGTTTAGCTATCGATCTGATGACGAGGAAAAGAGTCAAAACCGCTGGGCGTATGATTGCAGGAGCGATAAGGGACATCGACGTGGAGATCGAAGGGGAGGCAGACAGGAAACAAGAACAGATTCAACTCGTCACGAAGATAGAACAAAGCCTAGGAAATTGTCCCAAGTATCTCAATCAATACGAAATACGCCCAGCACTAGTAAACGCAAGATTAGTATCGCAATCCTCATCGTTATCAAAAGAAGGAGAAGAACTCGTTGCGAGATCCGACATGTTCTTCTTATCCACAACAACTGAGGATGACATGGATGTCAACCATCGCGGTGGACCAGCGGGATTCGTTCGAATGATAAATTCAAGCACCCTTGTCTACCCCGAGTACTCCGGAAACCGGCTTTATCAGTCCCTCGGTAATCTAATGCTCAACCCCAAGATTGGTATCGTGTTTCCAGACTACGGAACGGGAGATGTCCTTTACCTGACTGGCACAACTGAAATCCTCGCTGGTGCAGATGCAGCTGTCCTATTACCCGGTAGCAATCTGGCCGTCAAGATTACCATCTCAGAATGCCGATTTGTAGCCAACGGTCTGCCGTTTCGTGGCTCGAAGAAGACACCTAGCCCATACAATCCGCTCGTGCGCACCCTTGCTTCTGAAGGGAACATACGCGGCACTCTCTCCGTTTCTCACACCATGGCGTCTTTAACCAAGAAAGAGGTTCTCACGCCTAGTATCGCTCGTTTCACCTTCACTGTGAGAGATGGGCTAACATATCGACCCGGGCAATGGATTGCGCTGGATTTTAGCAAAGAGTTAGACATTGGGTACGAACATATGCGCGATGATGATCCTGGAAGTCTGAACGATGACTTTGTGAGGACATTTACCATTTCCTCCACGCCTAGCAAAGACCATGAGAAGGAAAGTGAGTTTGAGATGACTATACGGAACGTTGGGGCTGTTACACGGTTCCTCTTCCAGCAAAATGAGCGGGCTGGGTTGGAGATAGGTGCCCTCGGTGTAGGGGGTGAGTTTAAGATCGAAAAGGCCGATGGGCGTAAAGTGGTTTTTGTGGCTGGCGGAGTGGGTGTCACGCCGTTGCTCGGACAAGTTGGTGGGCTGTATTTGGAAGCTGGAGGATTCAAGTTGATTTGGGCCGTACGGAGTGAGGATGTGGGGTTGGTGTATGATACGTTTCGACGGTATCATGGCCTAGGAGCTTGTACGACGGTGTTTCTGACAGATGGCGGAACAGACGGTGACTTAACTAAGATGAAGGATCACGTGAAATCGGAGGCTGAGGTTGTGGAAAGAAGAATGACGAAGAGTGATATACAGGCGATGCAGGCTGATACATGGTACGTGTGTGCCGGAAAGGGGATGAGGAAAATAGTTACAGGATGGCTAGAAGGACAGAAAGTAGTGTTTGAAGATTTTGATTATTAGGAGCGTAGACACAATGGATTGGTTGTATTGTCGCTTCCCTATAGTTGGTAACAATGAGAAATGCTTGGGCTCTCATGAAATTCATAAGTGAAAGCTCCAAAACGTGCCTTCCTTATTATCCAGAGTGACTGTCAGTTGAGCAGCTCGACGACTGCACTTTCTCAACCAACCCTATGACGTTCCTGTTATACAACGGCAGCTTGCTCGCACCTTCCGCCAGCGAAGATGCTCACTTAGAACTACATGAAGTGACTGCTGCGTCTACACCCTCAACTTCTCTACATTACTGTTACCGTCGTGCATCAATCACCGTACGACATTCTCGCAGCAGCTCCTCTATAATCACGCATCATGACGGCACCAACTACAGAACAGACGATTACTACAGCTAATAGCAAGCATGAAACAGCGAAGAAGTGGCTGCGGCGACATCTGCGCAAAGTGGCATCGCGCCAAACACTGAAGAACGACGACGACTCAAACGAGATGCAACGAAAGAATTCCCTCCGGCGTCCGCGCACAGCACCTTCAACAGAGCTTGCACAAAATCTTGACGATGCGCCAGCAGTTCCACTGGTCCCAATTGATGTCGAGCAAGGTTCACCTCGGGCGCCAGTCTTACCTCCAATCCGTCCCGCAAGACCAGATTCGGGCATTATACGGGATGTCAATGCCTGGTTGGATGCCAGCGTAAACACGCCTTCGCCTCCTCTGATGGGAGGACTTCCCTACTGGAGGGCGGCGACCAGCCCTGGTGTCAAGGATACACCCGTGGCGCAACATGCCGTTCCGTTGACTGGAGCACTCGGAATCGCCAGGCCATCGACAGCCAACAGCCAGCAAAGGATAGCCTTCCGTCGTTGCGCCAAGAAGATGCAGGTTCAGATACCTTCACTTCTGCGTACTAAATCTCAACGCCAGGGCGATCGAAAGCACAACAGACAATCGGCGTCGATGCCACTCTTAGCCGTCTCCTATGAGGATGTCAATGAAGCCGCCGCTCCTATGCTCATGTCTCGGTCTGGATCTTTCCTTCGTCCCGCCATGCAGCCGTCAACACGGTATCCCTCCACACGAACTAGTGCTCTTGTATCGGTTGATGAACAGCCGCGTGAAGATTTACCCTTGCGTACGGGCACACCAGGAAGTGTGCGACTTGGCGATACTGAGAGTGTCTTCGAGCGGCGCGTCAACGCCATATTCATGCGTACGGCACGTAGCGCGGACAGCACTCGACCATCAACGGCAGCTGCCTGTCTTACTCGAGAAGACTCCATGGGCGATCTGTCTGATGCACCGACGTACATTTCTGGGCTACCACCGCCGTCTTACCGTTCTCGCCCCGAGTCTGTTCTCACCACCTCTTCCTTCGGCTGCATCGATGGTATGAACCCTGCGCAACGCCAGATCAGTCAGCAGCGAGCAGCGCTACAGCGAGGAATGAAATGCAAGCTGAAGAGGTTCGCTCATACATTTGCGATATGAAAAGCGATGACAGATGAGCAAGTTCGAAGTGAAGGCAACACCAAACAGAGCGCGACACCAGACCACGATCACGATTGACGAACGAGATGACGCAAAGATTATGAAATACACACCATAAGACTGCTGGGGTTTGAGGGCTGGCATCTTCGTAGATACAAAAGAGAGACAACCCCGAACATTTGATCCTACAGCTGGCACACTGGGAAACTGCGCAATGCGCGCGATTATGTATCAAGATCAACGCGAAATACTCCATATACAATACATAGTGTACATATGCAGGGCCTAGAAATCGAGTTCTAATAGCAGAACGTTGATAAAGGTAATTGTGGTGATTGAAGTGAGAGCGAATAGCTGTGGTAATAGTAATGCGGGTCGGATGTTCCGGTCATATGACGTTGGAACGGGCCGCGGTCACCGAAAGCGGTTGGGGCGTATTCACCGCCTACTCATTTGACGGCAGCCCATGCACTCCACCATCTCCATCGAGAATCATTGGGCCCAACGTGGCACGCTGTATCACGTTCCCAACGCTTCCAACACACGCAATTGAACTCCATGGCCGCCTATTGATTCCTTGGCTGCCAGCGCAAAGAAACCCCGGGCTGGCTGCTCCACTTCATTCCTACGAACCACCGCAGACTTGCATCATTACGTGCAGCGCCGACAGCCAAACGGCCCCCCAACCTCACTTCAACGACGCAGCGCGCTGCGTAGGCGAACGTAAGCATGGCTTCGGCAGATGAATCTAATTCGCGGCCCAAGAGGCCAGCTGCGATGACTAGACAGTCATCCTCGCAATCGCACATCTCGCAGTCGCCGTCTGAGGGCCCTCATCGCTCAGCTCATCACAAGAGCCAGCGCCATCATGTTGTCGGTCAACGCGTACAGAGGAACACGTCTTTTGGCAAGAATCTCAACAAGCTGAACAAAGCCGAGAAGCAGGCACAGCAGGCGCTACAGGGTGCAGAAAACACGGGGCGACACCACCGTCGCTCACAGTCGGGCAATTCAGTTTCGGCGCCCAGCAGCCCACATACGCGTCCAGGTTTCAAGCGACATGCGTCATCTGGTGCCATTGTGAGAGCAAACAATCAGCAAGCCAACTTGCGCAGAAATCACTCGAGTGGACATCTGCCACCGCGGCAAGGCCATGCAAAACACGCGCTGAAGGGTTCAAAGAACGAAAACGCTGCTTCCAAGCGTGCACTCGCGACCCCCACTCGATCTCGGCAGAGTTCGCCGGAGCCGCACGCTGCGGTTCACTTTGATATGCCCAACGACGACGAGGAAGAAGAAGGCGGGTGGACTGAAGAGAGCGCGTCACAGTCACCTACGACTACCCGATCGAACACGCGCTCCAACTCCGTTATACTCGAGGCACAGCATAGAGCGGCGGAGATCAACATGGAGAAGAATAGGGGAGAGCCATCACAGCAGGCAGGAACAATACGGGAGGCGCCCAGCCAGGCGACTCAGACGCTCACCGATCGCACACGCAACAACACACAAACCAACGGCGGGAGCTCTTACCAACATTCTCGGCCTCCAGATGCTGACATGATCACTTCGCGACTACTGCAGCGCAGCTCCTCGCGGAATCTTGCTCCTCAAACATCGTCAGTCGCTGCGACCGTCGTATCATCGTCCGACCGCCACAATTTACTCAGTCACACGGCTGGGTCCGTTGGTTCTACGCTTGTAGACACGCCGGGACACAATCTGGTATCGCGTTTTATGGACGGAGACGGCTCGGCTGGGACACCTCATGACGGCGCATACATGGCTGGGCATGGTCTGAAGGAAGATACCGATGGAGGTGAACTCGACAAGAGCAAACGCAACAAGTCGATGCCAAATTTCAACGGCGGCGCAGACACGCCATCCAAAACACCTCAGCGTTCCGGCACAACCACACCCACTAATCTGCCCCCCTCGCGGACACAACAGAAACTCATGCTCCAGCGTGCGTCGTCCAACATTGAACCGCAGAAGCTCGTACCCGTAACGCTGCCCCGCACGGGCGGTCCCACATACCTCCAGTCTAGCATCCATTACAATGGCAATGGCGAGGGACGCTTGGATCCCCGTCTACAGCAGCAGTTCAACCACGTCGCGGTCGAATACAACGTGGTGCGAAGATATCGCAACCCGATTGCAGACGCCCTTGCGCGGATATACCAAACCCCTGGCATGTCTCGCAAAACGCGCATACCCAAGTCATCGCACAGTGCAAACGGCTTCACAACAGGTGCCAGCAGCCTGAGCACAAGTTTCAACGAAAGCAGCGTCGAAACAGATGGGGCAAGCTCACGGAGATCGCGAGTCAGTTTTGAGAACGATGCAGGGCGCGGCAAGACTAGTCGCAACGAGAACGACTTTGAAGCCGGAGGACAAAGTTTCGAGAGCGACCAGGCGCGTAGCCGAAACGAAGCGGAGGAGATATGCCGTCGCTTGTGGGAGAGCGCTGAAATAGTCGAAGCCGACTGAAGACTGAAGTCTGTTTGTTTGGCGACGCGCTGATCAAACATACACGACTCGAGGCCGTTTGCGACCATTGTGTGAAGACATTGCCAAGACAGTTTTGCCTTAGGTGCGTGCGTTCGCTTGCTTCCCTTCTCTCTGCATTTTGCCGTAGTCTTTTCGGGGGACATGGGATGAGGGTCTTTGTTCTATCGTGGAATGCATGCACGTGGGTTTCCATATACGCAAGGGGCGTTTGTTTAGAGCTTGCTGGAAACGGCATGGCTTTTCGACTAGCAGGCACATTGGCAAATGTTGCAGCGCCGGCAATGAAGCCGAGGAGAACTTCTGGTGGTTGCTGCATTTGCATTTGCATTTTCGCGCTCTAAACTAACTTTGCGCGTGGCAGTGGCAAAGAGTCGTGGTTCCTTTCTGTCTTGACCTTCTTGGGAGCGTTCGATCCGACTCGGCACTACACGACAATTGGTTTGACGAGAGCGAGTGCGGAAGATGAATTACTTGTCCAATTTGCGCGCGCGTGTTTGCTCAAATTTGTAATATACGCGTCAAGTCGAATTGCCACCCCAAGGAGCTCCAAGGTCGGAGGCAAGACATGATTCGGCTTGGCTTGTCATTGGGGAGCGGCTTGTCATTTGAGAGAGCGGAAGTTAGGAGCTGGATTTGCAATGGCGTCGTTGCCAATGGCTATAATGCCAATGGTCGCGATGGCGGAATGGCAGGAAATGAGCGAAAGTTCGCACTGTACTAATGGCAGGGGTGGTGCGGCCTATATAACCAATCAGAGCTATACTCGCTTGGACGGGCGACCTTAGCTCCAATCTGGATTCTTTCTCTCGAGGCGATGACATGACCTGTTCTTATGTGTCACTCACCGTTGCTTTTCTGGCGATGCTACTACAGTGGGTTCGGTGGGAGAAAAATGTGTTGTTCATGCAGAATGCCATGCCTGGGCAACTACACTCTCGCGCGCTACTACTGCGCGACGACTTGGAGTCACAACATAAGCTGCATTGTTGAGGCAAAGTCTTTGCAAGAAATTCTCTTTGGCGAGTTCCACACCACCATCAGGATGTTGTTCTCGTTGTACTGTTCCGTCTGCTTCCAGAGCTGCCAAGGTGACGGGACAACAATAGCCTGTACACTTGTCGCAACGGGTAGGGTGCCACGAGTGTCCAAGTGCGGTGTACAGCATTTGTCGCGCTGGCTCCAGTCACGTTTCCGCCTTGAGGGCCGACGGCACGATTCGCTGAGCTCGTTTCAGGGTCTGTGCGGAGCTCAGGCTGGTGTATTGTGGAACGCATGGGGTGTGAGGATGCTCTGGGGCGAAAGTCGTGAGGAGAAGGTTGAAACTTGGCCCTCGAGCGCCGGGGCTTATGGGGTTGTCCTTGTGCGACGACAGATACGATGACAGCCTCGTCTTCCAGGTTGCCCTAGTGATCGCGATGAGCAGTGAGGTCACTACCCGTCAGTCACGAGGATGCAGGTGGGAAGGTGCAGGCACGTTGACTAAAGTGGGTACCTCGGCAGTCAAGCTCAACTCAGGCAGGCACGAGACTGCCACGACTGGGTTGTTTGCAGAGATTTGCCGTCAAGCCAAGCCAGCACGTCCCCACTCCAACAGCTAGATCGGCAGCTTCCTTGCTCAGGTACTTCCGCTAGCGTGGCCGAACCTGCGTTAGCGCCTTAAGGGGACCGAAATTGCGCTTTTCTCAGGGAAATTGCGCAGGCGGCAAGGATTCAAGACACGATACAACCCCCGGGGGCGGTCCCCACTCGCCGTTGTTTCCCTTCACCCTCACAGACGCACGATCCAAAACTCTCGAGATATATCTCACTCACACTCTCTTAAAGCATCTTGCTTCCACGCTCATTATCATCACTATCTTTGACATCACTCTCTTGATCTCAGACTATCCCACACTGCTCTCGCATACCATCTCCAACAAAAAATAAACGACCTTGTCTCACACCTTGCGCAACTTGTCGCATAACCCGTCGCATACACACTTGCAACCACCACCATCTTCTGATTCGACATCGAAGCTTTTGCGCATTCTTCGTCGCATATCAACTAACAACACCCTCCTTCACCACCAACCAACCAACCAACCAACCAACCACCAAAATGCGCTCCTTTAGCCAGATCTTCACTGCCATCTTTGCGCTCCTCTGCGCCGTCGCCTTCGCTCAAGAGGAGGGATACGACGCCACTGTCTACATCACCTCCACTGTCTACCGCGTCAACACTGTCACCATGTCCAGCTCCGCACCCGCTCCCGGTTACACCCCCGCCAACAGCACCAGCACCATCTCTGCTACCCACCCCACCATCATCCCCAGCTACAACGCTGGCAACGGTACTTCCGGTGTTGCACCTACTGCTTCCGCTCCTACTGTCGGCGCGCCATCTGCCAGCAAGCCTGCTGAGTTCGAGGGTGCTGCTGCGTCCATCAAGGTCAACACCATGGTTGTTGCGCTCGCTGCTGGTGTTGGCTACCTCGTCTTGTAAGAGATAGGAAAACCGCTTTCCGTGCATCATCGACTGGTGCGCTGTCTTTGATTCAACGAGCGCACGCGTTCAAAGCCTTTCTTCATGTCCTTTGCCTGTAACCCATATCACGAGGATGCATGTCCGTTCACGTCTTGTTCTTGCGCTCTTCGCATCATACCCCCTTTTACCCCCTTGGACTTGTCCTTGGGTCTTGTTTTACATTCAATCTGCTTTCCAACTTGGGCACTTCCAAACCCCTTTATTACCCCTCACACTCCTTTGTAATCACACTTTCTCTTGTCTGCGACGATTGATGAACTGTGGAGATCACACTATTATACTTGGGTAATACTTGAGCTTTGGGATTTCCTACACCTACTTTCCTTTCTGCAATACCCCCTGTTTCGATCACCACCGTTTGTTTTTGTTCGGTGGTCGACCCTTATACCCCCTATGAGGCGCTTCAGCGAATGCGAATGCGATCTTTCATGCAACTCGAGGCCTGTTTCAAAGATGCCTGTGGCATGTGCCCTCTTGTCATGATCGCCTACTCTTCTGCCGATGCGATAGCCTACTTCTCTGGTGGAGCTGGAGTTTGGAGATACCCAATACCATTTTTTTGTGCTTTGCGACATTTGCGGTGGAAGATTTGTTTGAGACACATAGCAGAGACGAACAATAAAATACATGTTCTGTCAACCCCAACTTTTCTACTGAATGATATGACTGTGACTCTGATCGACCAGATTGTAGTAGTATATTACTCGTGACATTGCGCCTCTTCACCGCTATCCTCGAACACCAGAATTGACCGACTACAATCACGCAAGCTCCTACCCGCCCGGCAACTCTATCCCGAACTATCCCCACAACGCCATTCCAGACCCGTGCGTCTTTTTGGCTTTTTATCGTTTTCGGTCGCTACCGTAATGACGATCGACATGTTCGGCAGTATAGCTCGTTGACGTGCATAGATACGATCATTACGGTGTACGTCCATAAAGTTCATGTCGAGTCAAGAGGGTAAATACCACTTTTTGCCGAAATGAAATACAATTTGTGGTCTCAATAGCTGGTAGGGACTGCTTGTGTCAGTGCGATAGAAGGTAGATCGATAGATGGTTTGTGGTGCTAATACATACTCGGCGATACGATAACTGAAAAGGAGGTGACCAGGAAGAAAAGGGATGTTGCGACGATATTGTAGAACGGAAAATATGCCTAATCAACAGAAACCTGACGCATACATGGTGTGGAATCCTAGCGGCTCTCACTTGTATAGAGTCTTACAACACCTGAGTATGTTCCGTCCTCTTCTTGCTGTGTCACAACATTCAAGGTCCTGCCAAAAGCTTCTTTTGTCAGATCTGACTACTCTTCACTTCACCTCTCGAGAGCATTCTGTAGCAAGCGGCAAAGTTCATATCTCATATTCTCATTCCCTTTGTTCAAGGACACCTCAGCTATAGCTTCCACCCACAGGTCCCTCCAACCCGAAGCAGTTTGCAAAATAAGTCACTGTCGCCGCCCAATCTGTGAACAGGCCCTTGATCCCAACCTCCCTGACGAGAATATCCAGTACTTCGTACAACTGTCCATCGTGCGTGATTACATCTGCAATCGTAGAGTAGTAATATTCCTCGTCTTTCTTCACATTGGCCAAGGGTCCTGACCTCTCGAACGTCCAGGCGATGATATCCATGCCATTTGCTTTGATAGCTTTCGAGTACTCGCTCTCAACGATGGTCTTGTTGTCAGCGCCGCCAATGGATAGAAGCATGGGTAGCGCTGGCGCAATGATGTTTACGCCTGCGGCCCGCGCAATGCTTAGGTTGGCCATTCCGGCTGCCAGGTCCGCGGGTGTGTCGAATTCTTGGAGATAGGCCGCCTGGCGACCAAAGTCGTGGTCATTTTGTAGCCAGTATACGATGTCATCATAGGTAAAAGATTGTGGCCACACACGAGAGGCGTCGATGCCCTTATTACGGAAGGCGGATATCATGTCGCTGGCGTATTGCTGCTGTGTGTAGTTTCCTTGGAAAGGCATAGGGACGGCGGCGGGTGGCGTTTTGAGCTCGGGAGTGAAGTTACGGTAGCCTGGATAGGAGTCTACAAGATCGATGTATTGATCAAGGGTTAGTACTTGGCCGCATGTATCGTAGAGCTCCGTGCGCCAGGGAGGTGTGCCCGCTTGGAAGTCGACTACGTTTGTGGCGGAGGCATTTATGCCGTCTTGTTTGCTGCACAGCGTGCTGACTATGAGTTTTATCAGTCAAAACTATCGTCTTGGATGTTGAAATGGAAGTGGGGACATACACTCATCGATTGTGATGTCAGACGTACAACACAGCGCGTTCGCATCACTCGTCGCATTAGCTGGTGTGAACGGCGTCGTACATTTCGCTGCCAACTCTGGTCTGAGCAGAATGTCTGTCGTCCGGTGCAAATCACATAGATCATGTCTGCATACTAAGCCCCTGTCGCTTGTGAATGTTACATCGCATTCCAAGATACCAGCGCCCATACGCGCTCCAGCATCTTCCGAACGAATTGTCTCCTCTGGAAACTGAAGTGTTCCGCCGCCGCGATGGCCGATCGAGAATCCCGATATGGAAACAGGAGTGTTTTCACAAGACTGTAATTTCCTCTTCAATGGGCTATCAGTCATATTATTAATGATGTAGTATGGTCGGGGACCGAGAGAAACGAGGTAGTCGGTGGCATTCTCAAGAGGAGTGTGGTGATGCTTGCTGACGGTGGGATAGCCCAGAGCCGTAGCAGCGAGACCTAATACCAGGAGAGCAGACATATCGAGATGGAGCAGCTTCGGCGAAGATAGCGAAAGACGAGGAGAATCAACACACCGCCGAACCGCACCACCAAGTTCCTTCTTTTTATACCCAGCTCAGCCAGCTTGGTCAAGCTAAGCATCCATCACCTACGTCAACGACATGGCTTCAGTCCACAATCCTAGCAGTAGGCTGCAGGAACAGATGCATACTAGCCAGACGGTAATCCCATGTGCGCGGCACGGAGCACGCCTACTTCCATCGCTAACGCCAAAAGACTTGCAGAAGCTTGCATGAGCTTACGCAACGACCGCGGCTTGGGGAAAGGCTTGATGGATTGGGGGCTGTCATCATGGTAGAAGATAAGAACCAGCTATGATTACACGTGGGCGAGATAGGCGGATGTCGTTGGTGTCGGACCGGAGCAGCTGGTTGTAATCGGTTGGGATTGCGCCAATTGATTAGCGCACGTGGGGCGCATGCCGGTCGGTCTATCCCCGCATGTTTTATCCCGCGAAGTACGTGAGTGACGACAAGGCGTTTTGTGCCGGTATATCCGAGATCTGTAATCAGGCGTTGTTCCGAACTCTTCTCTCTTTCTTGAAACTACGCTGCTTGCCATTGTGTACTGTCCTAGAGTTATCTACAAGGCGGTCACCATAGGTGTAGAACAACCACATTCGTCTGGTTTCTTCCAAGAACAAGATCGTAACCCTCACCAGAAAGCTTCTGAAGATTAACACGAGTGATCTTTTTTCGGAAGAAGACGAGAGATCAGTTTTCTATCTATAATCTTGTATGACAACGAAAGAGAAGCTGTCTCAGACCACGCCAGTATAAAATTAGCAGTTTTGCCAGCGATTGCCCAAGGGCATATTCTGTTCTTTTATCTCTGCTCAGATCTTCTCCTTCTCTCCTTCAGTTTTGTTTTCATCGTAAAGATTACTATCGTCTCTTTGTATTGGACTCGATGGTGGAATCAACGCTGCAGGAGGCTGCGCTGGCTGGGAGGTTGGTGACCCAGATGAGCTGGTGGACGCAAGCCGTGTGTATCGTCCTGACGGAGTATCTTGCGATGTAGCTGCTCCCCCAGAGCGTTGGAAAAACTCTTGTAGAGAAGCATAAGCAGTGGCTGGCTGTTTGACAGGCCGAAAAACCTTTTGTGGCAGCATCGAGGGTGGTGAGACCTTGCGAGGCATACCAATTGCACGTTGTATGATTGGCACGAGAACCTCTTCGTCACTGCCTCCTTCTATAATAGGCCCCTTACGTGATATTGGCTGTAGAGCAGGAGTGTATGCAATCCCGTCGGTTTGCCTTAATGGTGGTATGCCACCAAAGTTCGTTCTACTCTTACTGGTATCGTTCAGCTCGGGTATGTTGGCTCTTGCAACGTCTGAAAACAAGTGTGTTCCCGGGGTCTTCTTCTGGATTACAGTGCCTGGCAGATGGGGTGTTCTATTCTCATTGCTCTTGCTCACGATGCCCTTGGCGCTTGCATTTTGTCGCTGATTAAGCTGTTTATCATCTTCTGCCTCGTTGTTGGCGTTTTTGTACCCTCTGGTCGTCTGTGTTGATCGTGCTCCAGGTATGTTTGTGTGAGTCGTAAATCGAAGTACACCGAAAGTACCACCTCGGATCTGAGACAAGTGTTGTCTAGTACCATCTGCTCCTCCGCCCATCGCTCTTCCTCTTCCGTGCTCGCTCAGATTGGCGTCGCGGTAAACACCGCCTATGATCTGGCTCTCATCGAGAGTTTCTCTACCTCTTCCACCATCCTTACGACCGACCATTCCTCCGCCCCTCCCTCCACGACGGCTACCATATCCATAAACTTCGCCTCGTCCGTTTGGCGTTTCAAACATGCTATTGACGTAATTTAGCTGTAGCTTTCCTTGAAGTTGAGTATATCTCGCAGACGAATCTGTAGTGTTCGATGCAGCTCAGGGTCATGATCTCATTCCTACGTCTTATACCTAGTATCACATTTTGGACAGATTCGTCACACGCCTGTCTCACATCACAAGCTTCCACCAGTGGCTTCTACACGAACCCATGGATATATCACCGGACTTACTTCCTGCACCCACGTGTAAATATCTCCGTACTACCTTTACGTGCCTGTCCCTACGACTCCATATCCACATCGACCATGCCCCGTCGCACCATCCTTCCCATGCTCCTCTTCCGCCGACGTATTTTATACTTTCAGTCTACCCTCCGTCTCGCCATGTGCGCAGATGGAAGACGGAGATGCAAAAGAAGACATATCTTTCACTTCCGCTGGCCCCATCACATCCTCCTCAGCATCAGAAAGTCCATCGGGAATAGGAAGAAGTAAGATCCTTGTCGCCTGCATCTTCGTGAACAGGAGAGTAGTACCGGTTTTCATCTCGACAGAAACTTATCTCAAACTTGGGGAAGACGCCACAGGCATGGATTCTGCTGACAGAGGCTTTTGTTTGTGACGGAAGTGTAAGAGTGGTGTTTGAATTCGTGGTTGCGCTGGGAGTTGATAGACTGAGTGAAGCGGATGAACATGATATCGTGGCGGATGATTCGTTGTTTGGTCCGCCTGTGGCATTGGTAAGTAAGGTATGTGCTTCGTTAGTTGAATGCCCGCGTTATTAGGTCATCGTGAAATTCGGGGTTTTGATATTGGTGGGAAAAGGTGTCGACTGAAAGAGCCATACACCTGTTGAGAGATAAGTTTGGACTTAGTTGGACCATTTCCTCCGAGCCATTGTGTCAATTATTCGTCTGTTATCAACCACTGTCGATTGTCGCGATTCGTGGTCTTTAACGGAGGTGTCTCATACTGACAGTCAAGATATGTCTGGAATGGCGTATCTCCAACGCGAGTTGGACATTTGTAATTGAAAGGACCAGGTGGCCCACGAGTTCAAAATTTACTATAATCGATTCTTCCACCTACTCCTACTCCTCCACCACCCGCCGTTGTTTCTAATATCTAACAATAGGGAAGTTTAGTGTTGGGTATATACAAATGCAAGCACAATGACCTCCCAAGTGTAACTGCCAACGAAGGCTTCTGTAGACTCTACATAGGAAACAGACAATCTCAGTATAACGCAAGTAAACAAGGAAAGGTTATTAAGTATAATGTAGGAAAAGGTTTGGTTCAGGGTTCCAAGGTTGACAAGAAAATGGGTATCAAGCTGCAAGGCCGGGTATATGGGTATAGCGAAAAGCCGAGCTGAGTATAGAAAGATAGAGAAAAACAAAGGGAGAAAGAGGCGAGAGTGTTGAACAAACGAAATAACGAGATGTGTGAAAACCGCTGTAGAGTAGGCCAGTCCGTGTATCGCGTTCCGTGTATCACGTTACGCCATGCCGAAGAGTCCTTTCTGCCCATCGTTGACAATCTTGCTGTTGTGCTGTACAGCATCGATTAACCCATTGTGACGCTGGGATCGTTCGAGCCGACAAAGCCCGTCGACATGCCCATATCCATGTGAAGAAACTGGTCTTGACGGCTGTCGAGACTGTCCATACCCCCTGACATCATGGAGCTGCCCATGGCGCTCATGTTGTTCTGGTTCATGCCGTGTGGGTCCATCATGGCGAGCGATTCTCGTCGACTGCTATCAGCTGAGCCGACGTGCTGTAAATGAGGCGAGAGCTGATGCTGCTGATGTGGGCGGAAGTCTTGATTGCGTGACTGGTTCATGTGCTGACGCGCGGCTGCCCATGCTTGGGCTTGAGCCTGCGCCTGCGCAATCTGAGCCTGGCTGATGTGGGTGGTCTGCATATGTGGTTGAAACTGCTGTGAGGGATGCGGTGGCGTCGGTTGGAGGGGAGCTCCATGGTGATGTTGGGGCTGGGGATGATGCAAGGCCTGCTGTTGGGCTTGATGCTGCATCTGGTGCATCGATTCGTCCTCCTCGATGGTCTGAGGAGTTAGGTCGATATCGTCGTCGTCATCATCGCCCTCTGCATCGACTTGGTCGTTGTCTCCATCACCACACACAGTGGGTGGTGCACTGAAGGGCATGTTGGTCTCGACCTTGATCGGGCTGCCTTGCCTAGGCTGGTTCACGGTAGCGAACTGCGTTGGTGGGAGACTAGCCATGGAGCAGCTCCTAGAACTAGTGCCGCTGGGGAGTGGCTTCTGAGCACTCATACCAGAAACTGAAGCCCTGTTCTCGCGTATAGCGGTCCGCCACTTGTCGATGAGGCGGTCGTAGTCCCAGTTGCGGTAGTCCATACCGTGCTTGGCAAGCTCTCTGGCAGTGTCGGTGCCGAGGTTGATACTGATGGGCGATACATCGGGAGCTCCCGAAGTCCAGCGGTTGGCTTTCAAGTATTCAATCTCTCGACGTGCGTTCCCCAACTGCACCTCAGCTTCCCGTCGCCTGTCGTCGGCACGGGCATAGCAGCGCAGTATCTCAATCTGCCAGTACTCCTGCCTCGTCTTGTCTGACTGTTGTGTCCAGTGGTGGTAGGCGTCTGCAATGTGGCCAAAGAGACGTTGTGGGTCGTGGTCAAAGAGCGGTGGTGTGGGTAGGGGTGAGGTGTTGGTGGAAGGAGCGGATGAGTGCGAGCCTGACGGGTAGACCTGGTTGATCTGACGCTGGCGTTGGTAGGCAAGCAGACGCTCGCGGACCTGCTTGTTCAGGGCTTCGAACTGCTTCTGGCCCGGCGGGGTGATGGACCATGACTCGGACGTGGGAAAGGGCGTGGGTGAGAAGAGGGTCGAGGGCGCGGGGAGGATTTGGAGGCACAGTGAGGGGAAGTTTTGTGTGTAGGGGTCGAAGTCGAAGAGGCCGGACCCAGATGCTTTGGCACTGGGGGGTTGTTAGCGTCATAGGGGTACATGGTGGGTGATGGATGACATACTTGGCGTCTCGCACGCTCTTCAACAGCTCCCGCAACGCCATCTCGGTGGCGCTCGCAATTTCATTTTCCTCGTTGGTTTTCTGCCTTTGGTCGAGGTCGGCCTTGCGTGTCTGCCGCGATGCATCACGGCGAGGGTCTGGTGTTTTGGTGTTTAGCCTTGAAGGCCGGTTGCTGCTTCCCCAGCTCACATCCTTGAACTGCCCCCTCGTCTTGCCAATCTCTAGCGGCTCATCGTCGTCCTCGGGGCTGCCGACAAGGACAGAGTCTTCGCTCGCTATCCGCTTCTTGTTTGCAGGCGTACTGGTGCCGCTGTCATCGCGGCGCGGTGTTGATACGCTGCCCTTGGCCTGTCGCCTGGTGATGCCGCCTCGCAGCTTCCGGATCTCGTCGACATTATGGACGCCGTCGGGCGCCTTTGGGTTTTTGGGTCTGATGTACAGGTCTAGGTGACGTCCCAGACTGGATGAAGTGAAGGCCTGGCCACAAAAGGGACAGTTCTTGTCTTTGGCAGCCTTGAGCTGTGGTTCGGCGGTAGAGCGAGGTGTGGATGATTCGGTTTCGCCCATGATGCCCGCCAGATATTATTACTCAGGGTTCCCAAGCTCGAGCTTATCTCGATACGCAGAGTCGTTCATGCGTGCCTGTGGAAGGATTATAGCTACAGCTATGACATTACTATTACGGTCAGAAGGGGTATACAAGGAAAGATGGGCATAGTGCACGCCAATGGCTAATGAGAGGAGACCAATTGGACGCTGCGAACAAAAGGAGCGACGCGTTGGAGCAATATTATCTCGCTCGAGCTTGGCGCGAAAAGCTGCCCCTAAAGGCCTTTGCCGTGCACAGTGATCCGCGCGCAAGTGTCGCGCTGTCATCAGTGCGTGCAGCGGGAAGCAAGCCCGCCCGAACCAAATGGCCCCGGCAGCTGTCAGACGTCGCCTCGGAGGTCTGGACAGACGCTCTCCCCTCTCACAAGCTGACCTTCTGAAGACATAAATTGCCTTCATTTCTATTCTCAGCAAACTACCGCCTTGCTCGAGCCAGCTTTGCCGCTGTCCGCGCCGCAATGTCCTCATACTCATCCATGCCCAGGTCAAGCTTCCTGACCTGCCCTTTGCTAGTCAGCCGAAAAACGCTCCCCGGAGCTAGCCCTGCTTCTTCGTCCTCCGACTCGCTGCTTTCGTCAGCCTCGCCCTCGGACGCCGCGTGAACCCCTGGCGCTAGCTTGTACGGCGACTGCCCTTCCACCACGGTTCTGCGGGGTGTTAATAGCTGAACTCTATTGTGCTTATTTTCGATGCGTTCTTCCGCGATCGACAAGAGTTGACATACCTCATGAAGAATCTGTCGTGGGTCACTACCAGCAGCGCGCCCTCATACTCCCTCAATGCCATCACGAGACCCAGGATGGTGTCTGCATCCAGATGGGTCGTCACCTCGTCCAGAATAAGAAGCTGCGGCGGCGGCCATAGAAGCTTGGCAAGAGCGACCCTGACCTTCTGCCCTCCCGAGAGGAGTACGAGCGGAACGTCCGACACCGTCTGACCATGGAGCCCCAATCCGCTTAAAGCTGCCCGCGCGTCTTTCTCCTGTGCCCCATCGCCAACACAGTCCATTAAGTGCCGAAGGGCCGTGATATGAGGGTTGGAAGACGCCATGGCCGTGATCTCTTCGACAGATTGCTGCGAGAAGCGACCCATCTTCACTCTCGCATGTCGCGCAATCGTGCCTGAAGTGGGGAGAAGTCCGCCCTCATCACCGCCCATTATCAGTGAAGCCAGCGTCGTCTTGCCCGAGCCATTGAGGCCTGTCAACCCTATTCTTGCACCCGGGTGGATGGTCAAATTGACGTCTGTCAAGACGGGCAATTTCTTTCTTCCAGGATACGCAAATGACACCTTCTCTAGGCTTACTAACGCGCCAGGAAACTTCAAATCGGGTGGCTGGTGCGGAAACGAGAGTTGGACTGGTGGATCAAAATCAGGTATCTCAATCTCCGCCCGGCGGGACAAATGATAGCCTCCGAGATCCCGGTTCAGCTTGAAGCGACCACCTTTGAGACCAACTTGCAGCCCCATTCTATCGTCGAGCTTCTTCTTCCTCGATGCAGCCTGCTTCAACTTCTTATCGTCCCCCTTATCTTTAGCTGCCTTGATGTTGCCGGCGATGGTTTTCTCAATGTGCTTTTTCTGCTTGTCCTGCGCTTCCTTCATCTTCGTCATGTATCTGGCTTTCTTCCACCTCTCGCGCTCGTACAGACTGAGATTTCCGCGAAAAGTCTCTAGAGTCTGGTTACGCAGCACAAGAAGCTCCTCAGCTACGGCATCTCCAAAGTCGCGGTCATGAGTTGTTATGAGGACAGTTGTGCCTTTCAGATTCCGAATATAATCCTGCAGCCAGATGATAGATGGCAGATCCAAGAAGTTGGTAGGCTCATCAAGTAGCAGCACGTCGGCGTACTGAGTGAGGGCGCATGCTAATTCGCATCTCGTCTTCCATCCTCCCGAAAGCTCCGACACGGGCTTGTCGATACGATCTTCCTTAAAGCCAAGGCCCAGCAAGACCGCTCGTGCTTTTGCTTCAGCCTCATTCGCATCCATGAGTTCGAGGGAAGCCTGCACACCAGCGAGCAGATCTGCGGCTGCTTGCATCTCTTCGCTGAGCTGCGTAGGATCGATCTCCGTCTCTTGTAGACTTTTCTCGGATTCTTCGAAGCGTTCCTCAAGCTTGATCAGCTCCTTCCTCGCTAGCTTACCCCGTGCGCCACTTCTTCTCTCCGCAATGCGGTGGCCTTCTTTTAGTTGCAAGGCTAGTCTCTCGTGACCAATACGCCTGTACGCCCGGACCGGTGCCATGGAATCGATCGAGTTCTCAATTGCTTCACTCAGCATCTTCGCCTCTCGCACATACCGCTCTCGAACCCGATCACTCCGCACGACATGTTGTAGGACCGTCTCGCTTTCCAGACCCAGCGCATCTATACCATCTTCCATACTATCCTCCCTAGTCTGGCCTAATAGCAGGATCCTCGTACTCCACGGAATTCCGGGAACAAGACCATCAGCAATAGCCTTAAGGATCGTTGACTTGCCAGTCCCGTTCCGACCGACCATCACATAATGTCGTGCTTCTACCAAGTGGAGCGTTGTGCGTGAAAGTAGTTCGCGGTTTGCGACTGTGATAGATAGGTCTTTGATGAGTATCTGGGAGAGTGAACAAAGACAACTTGGAGTTGGAGATACACAAGTCAATATACCTCTTTTGATGCTGGCGCGTCCACAGCATCGAGCGCATAGCGTGATTGCTGTGCTGTCACTGTGATGTGACCACCGCCGTGATGCTCTGCGACTGGCACGCTTTCCTTAGTCTTGCGCACCATAGCTCTAGGAGTTGTCGACTGATCAGTGTGGTAGAATTGTTCTTGAAGAGGACGTCCTTTCTGATGCTTTCCTTATAGTTACAGTCGTTCAAAATTTAGCAGCCTTTCAGCTCATATACACACAGATGACACAGCCAAGCAGGGCTAGCGCAATTCTTCAGCAACTCAGGATGAGTCGATGCCGCGGCTCTTGATTGGTTGAGCGAAGCGTGACTAATGCACCAAGAGACGGCACGATCTTGAGTTGCGTTTCTATGTCTCATCACTCGACCACTTCTCTCCATCGATCTCTGGAACCATGCTCTCCAATTTCTGTTAGTATATACATTCTGTAACATGTTTCACAGACTTTGCATTCTCTCCCGCCGCCAGACGGCGCAACAACCAGACTTCAACACCAAACACTTCTTTCATCAAAAGCAGTATTCGATCCTCAGCTACTTACTTTCTGCGCCTGGCTCCTCGAACTCCTCTTTCGATGTGAGATATTCTGTCACTTCCAAGACCAATGCTTTAGCTGCAGGGGTAATAGTTTCCCAATTCGCCACGTCATCTGGCCATCTCCTTCCAGTATACAAAATACCGTACCTCGTTACTTCGACGTTAAAGACCATTTCTGCCCACTTCGAATCTTCAAACTTCTGTTTCAAACGGGCGTAGTGTTCGTCTTCTATCTGCTGCTCTGTTGATCTATCAGTTCGCTGCGATTCGGTGACAGGCCATGGTCGACCGTTAGTTTCGGAAGAGGGGCGGCAATTCTTCCCGTTCAAAACATCATCAGTGGCAGATGCACCGTTAGGGTTGGCCATACTGTCCTGCGGGGAGAAGGCAGACACAGTAGGCCTATCAGTCGGGATCTTCCTTCTTGCCTGCTCTGACATATCATTGACCTGATTGGCGTAGATTGCCCATCGAATGAGATCTTGTTCATCTGGGCCAACTTGACCCCAGCCTCGCAAGCCTTCAGGAAACTGCGTGTTCTCGGCATGCGCTTGCTGCTGCGCCTCCGCCACGAGAGCGAGGTATTGTCGTTCTACTTCTCGTCGCTGTACGGCTTTCAACTCCTCGTTCCTGACTGCCAATCGTTTTGGGTCTCCGGAGAGCTTGCTATTGCTGTTTTCACGGCTCGACGTAGCACGAATAACGCCAGCCGTATCATTCCGGCTCGCCAAAATCTTGTCCAGCGACTTGATATCTTCCTTCAATCTGTCTAACTCCCAATCTTGCAGATCTTCGTAGTCCGGTACGTTGAGCGGGAACGGCTTTTTCGCATCACCCTCAGCCTCTTCCCTCCAACCAGCAAGCCTCCGCATCCACACCCTCTCCACCTTCAAACCCCTCTCTAAAATCAATGCCTGTCTCGTTGTTAGTCGCTCTGCAGCCGTCTCCCCCTTCAGGTCGCTATAGTACGGTTCACTATGCACCGGCACATTAATTCCGTTCTCTCGCGCAATAGCCCGTCGCTCTTGATCTCGGACAGTGCGCATACTGTCTTCTATCAGAGCATCGTCTCTAGCTTTGGTGAGTTGCCGAAGTTCTAATGTGGAAATACTGACATGCGAGCCATCCTTATTCAATGTGCCGGGTGGGCCGGCGGCGCCTGTACACAAAACATCCTCATGGTAATTTCGGATAGTGACCATCGTAGTTTCCCCCCAATGACCGTATTCTGGATAAGTATCGGGTAACAGATCGTGCTTTACTATGCCTTGAGCACGAGATCGGGGTGCTGGCTCGGGGAGACGCGGTGTATAACATGCACTACAGAAGGTGGAGGTAATCGAGTTGTCAAAATGACAGAGGGAGCATGATCTTGAACTTGGAGCAGGTTCTGTACTTGCTAGAGTTTGAGCGCGCTGATGTCGTAGCTGCTGTTGATTTGGCTGTCTGCTAGCTGCCTTTTTCAGTACATGACTTTGGAGGTTATTCTCTGGTTGCGCTTTTCTTCGAGCTTTTCGAGTTGACGGAGTGGAATTCTCTACACCTGACGTATTCTGCTTCCGAGAGGCCACAGGCCTTGCATAACTTTCTACCGGTATTTCAGAAGCAACGTCGGCTTTCGAATGTTGGAGCCCCAAATTAGCTAACTCAGCACTAGAGAAAGGTGTTAACATCGATCCGCGCCGACATCCCGTTCTTACTGGCCGCTGTAGCATCGCCGAAGCTACCTTCTCCGACGCAGTTTGCGACTCTGCAGCTTGCTCGCTTACATGCCAAGTGTGCTTTCGGCTCTTCATTTGCTCTTGAGTATCTTCTTGGTCAATTGGCGAAGTTTGTAACCCTGCATTCACAATTGTGGCATATGTGCTCCTTGTTCGAGGTGCGGAGTTCTGAGAACTATGTCTCATCTTTGGTGGTAGCCTTGCTGGTATCAAACTTTGCGGCAGTATTGACGAATGCACTGGGCGTTCTGATAGGCAACAGATAGATATGGCATCGCCGTCCGGCCGCGTTGCTGAGTCAAAGTCATCGGAATCTGGATCTGACCCACCAGGCCTCGGGCTCGTAATTCCTCCCCTACGAATGTCGCTATTGTTCTCATCTCCTTTCTCTTCAACATACATCTGCCTTCCATGCGAACCAACTACCTTCAACCAGCTGTCGAGGTCTGGAATGCTTCCCGGTACAGCTATGCTCTCAAACATGCTTCTTACCATTCCTGCTCTATGCACATCTCGCACGTATCTTGGAATACTTGTACATACTGCGTATGGCGCTTTGAAAACCCTTGTGCCTACATCCACGCTTTCCCTCCCAAACTGTATGAGGCCATGAAGAGTGGCTAACATGGCTGCGGGAATGACACCGAGACGTGCTGACTGGGAACCGTAGAACGAGTTCGGTATTCGGCGTTTATGCAGTGGTTGTTCGCCGTCGTAGTCGTTATCTTCATCATTGTATTCGCTGTCTTGCAGGTCTTGCCGTCGTCTTCGATAACATAATCCAAACCCCAAGTCGACGTACTTGTCTTCCGCAGACCTCCTTCTTTTCGTTGGCACCACGTGGGTTGGAGAGAGGCCGTAGCCTTTACAGAAGGTTTTTTCGATTCCTGGCATTGCGCTACGTACTTCTCGTGGTTAGTGGATGCGCCTAGTAAACAGAATCAATGCGCAGGCCACATGCTGCACGTTGTGGTGTGCTACGGCTGCCGGCGTTACGTGGACAAAGATGGCAGTGGACAAAGGTATCGCGTGACACTGTAGAAACGGAAACAATAGACTAGGTATCGACGTGAAAGATTGATGACCAGGCATGACAACAAAGAAAAGAATGCAAAAGGGAGGGAATGACAGTCGCTACAATATTAGCTGTCAGCATTTTTGAGGTCAAGGGGTCGCTTTGATGAATAATTCCACATCCTACGATTCTTGATAGGGAGGTACCTGTGCAAGTGTTCCTCTGTTGCTGTCTCTTGGTTGTACATAGCTAAGCTGTGTCGACACCCATCGATGGCGAGTAATGCCGCGAGAGCCTGCATTCATCATGATTCGTGCGGTGAACGACCTGTTGCGAACGAGACGAGGATTTGATGGGTTTCGGATGATAAGCCGAATAACTTCTGCGGGGATGTGGCGACCACATCTCATGGGCAACGTGTGTAACTGAACAAGGGGCATCGCTGTGAGAAGGAGAAAGAGAAGTCAGAGTTGCTGATCTTGCAAGCCTCACCTACAAGGATTACGTCACGTCCCCCTTAGCCTTGCGCTAGTCTGCAAGCTCAGGAGTACGACGAAGCTTAGGATCCACCACCGAATCAATCTACGCGACAATAGGACTATCTTGATCAAACCACCCCGCAATCGGTTACTCGCTGCTGCTTCATGAACAGAGTATTAATTGACCAGCTATCGATTCGGCCTTACTCTGCCATGCACCCCTTGAAAACCCTCCGAGCATGCTCAAGCCACGATATTCGCCTACCACGCAGACCGGCAACGCCGAGCGTCTAGAATGTGGACTATGTTTTCCCTTATTTCCACATCCATCCGACGATACCAGATACGGCATAGCGTGGGTTCTATCAACCTTTCGCAAGGCTACACAATGCTAATTGAGGCTACGATTTCGAGTAAAAACTCTACTTCTGGTCGGAGGCTTGCTGTTCTAGAGCTGATCTGACCGTGTTCAGTAAAGCGTCGCTCTGGAATATATGCATAGAGTCTCGATACCGCTTGTATGCACCATGGGCTCATCTATGCATGGAGCAATGAAATTCTATAAGACCATCACACGTGCCGTGTGCTGTTGATCAATTGCACGAGTACCTCGACTGAGTCAAGATGAAGGCTTTTTCAGCAATTCTCATTGTGCTCGCCAGTATTGGACTTGCAGATGCAGCCGATTTCTGCGCCCCACAATCCAAATCTTGCATCAAGCTTCCTCAAGCTTCAGCCAAAGTCTGCTCATCACTTATCTGTATGAGTTCCCAGAAAAATGTTTGGAGGAAGATGCTTACGTTTCCACAGCCAAAGCCGGTCTAAAGTTGACAACATGTTCTAAACCCAAATCTACGATCACCAAGACAACGACTGTTCAGCCATTGACGACTCAGACTGTCACTGTAACAAAAACAGCTTCTTTCACTGTTGCAACGTACGTACTTGGCAAACCATGGGTTAGGATCGTCACTAACTTGCACAGCAACGTGCAGAGAACCATCCAGAAAACTGTTACGAGCACTACGGTCTCTCAAACCACGTTGGTTCAGACGGCCACGAGCACTGCACAGACAACATTGATCGTACCTGTAACAGTCACAGATTCCCAAGGCGAGACTATGTGCGTACCATCTCTTTAACAACCAACCTATATGCGATGACTGACTAGTATAGAACAACTACAATCACCTCTTCGATACCGTACCAACAGGAGACATGTGCTGCTGCTACTCCAGTGATCCGCAAACGTGGTAATAACTATAAAGCATTGGACATAATTCCTCGTGATTGCTGTACGTAACACATTGCTTGAAGATGTACAAAAGGCTGACAGGGCGACAGCGTGTTACCTCACAAGAACAACCACGTGCGGTCAAACCACAACAACGTCAACTATTACCAGACCTACCTCGACTGTACGAGTGACGCAGGTCAAACTTACCACCGTTACCAAGTACAATTCAAAGACCTCTGATATCCTTCAAACCGCAACAGCTGTCGTTTCTGCTGTCTCAACTGACTCTTCGACAACAACTATCGCCATCACAGAGACACACTCTTTGACTTCTGTCGTCGCAACTACTACAACAAGTAAGAAGCATAATTTTAATTGGCTGGCGTCGTTGCTAACATTGCGCAGCGACTACTTCCACAGCAACCGCTACTCAGACCGTCGAGGCTGATCCCTGCGCCGATCCTGTCCTTTACACTTCCACCCGACCCGACTATCCTGGTTCCGTCTGGGGTGTATTGTCGGATTCCGACAATCCCAAGGACTGCTGCTATCGCTGCTTCGGCAGCAACGCAGGATGTCTGTTCTGGAAATTCTCTAATTTTGCTTGTACCCAGTATGTCATCCCAAACAAAATGGATGCAGTATCATGCATCACGAAAAGCTGTCGCAAGGGTAGACCATCACTTATATCTGCTGCTGGTGATGGAGCTACCTATGGTGTTGGAATCTGCGCTGCCGCGGGGTTCAGTGGATGAACTCCATCTCCAAGTGGCGTTATCAAACAGGTCAATGTAATTACTCTTCATTGTACATAGCTATTCAAGTCTTCCTAGCGAGGAGGTCAGCTTTCTTAGACCTCATGCTTTCGAAAAATCCCTGCATCATAGCCTGATCGATGCGGCCAAACTCCCACCATCCCTCTTGGGCAGCATCCGTTGTCCCTACGTACACCTCTCTTGGATGCAATCGAGCGCATGGCCACAAGCCGTAAGGTCGAACGCTCAACGTCGCTAGAAGTGGGTACAACTCTTCCAGAAGTAGACTCGACAACACCTTCATCTCGCCCTTAAAACCAGGCGCTAAGGTATCGATCAGTTCCCGCGAGAGCTGATCAAACGTCCCATCTACAAGACGCACATGCCCGCCATTGCAACCAAATCCAGGACCATACGGAGGCGGAGGCCGAACTTCCTCCTTGGGCGACTCAGCATATGAGGCATATGCTTGCTTATCGATGACAAGGAAGTCTTGGGTCCACATACGCCCGAGCGTCGGCAGCATGGTGAAGGTCTTCTTGAAGTGTCGTTTGGCAGCCGCCACATCACCTTCCGCAATTCCAAATTCTCGCCCATCGATGACCATGATTTTATGCTTCCTGTTGATGCTGTCGAATCCTTCGATCCAGTTTCCAGATCGTGAGACGTCTTGAAGGAACTTTTTCTCAAAGGTCGCCCATTGCTCATCGGTTTGATCGTAAGTTAGGCGGTAGCAAACAAAACCCCACGCATCCGGGTTTCGAGTTACATCTCGCGGATTCTTTGCGTAAAAGTCCATGCGCTCACGTAGAATTGTTATCCAATGTTCCTGAGTGGGCTGTTTCGGTGGACCACAGAGGACTAATCGAATCTCGTCGCGGTTTCTCTTGCCTTCTTCGTAGTGGCCAATGAGATTTTCGGTGTCCCGAAATCGTGGATGTGCTGGCTTCGTGAGTTGCTGAATTGGATCGAGTAGTTCCTCCATTGTCGGTTGTTTGGAAGCTTGCTCAGCATCGGCTTTGTCTTGCGCTTCAAGGATAGCTATCTGATGTTTGAAAGACTTTGCCGCCATCATCTTTCTCCAGGTATCATGTCTCTGTGTTACTGGGAGATCCTTGAAGGCGTTGGAGGCTGTGTATCCCTTGAAGCCAGTCATGGGGATGCCGATGGTGTAGTCCAGTCTGGTGAGCATGCCTCTGAGATCTTGTACACACTCGTAATACTTCTTGCCTGCTTCGCCAACAGCTGCTTCGTCAGTTCCAGCATCCTTGAGAGCATCCTGGTATTGCGCAAAAGCGCGTGCTTGGACTTCATCCACACGATCTACAATCCATCGATGCGTCCGTTCTGACATGTTGGTTGTCAAGTCGTTCCAGTATTCTGCCCACATACCGGCCAGGTTGAGTTTCTCTCCAATGCCGTTCTTTTCGCGCCGAAGGTTAGCTGCCTGCTCGAATTCGACATATTTGTCAACCATCCAATTGAAAGCGCTCCTTGTCAGGTTTTGAACCTCATCATGATTGAACCATTCGAATATGTAATTGACGTCCTTGATCAATTCGAAAAGGTTCCTGTAGTTCGCAGGGTCATCCATCTTACGCTCTAGCCAGCGGTCTCCGCTGATTGGCACCATACCAAGCAAGAGCTTTGCTTTCAGAGGACGTAGACGGGCAAGAAAGCCGATATGTGGCGGGGCTTTGAGTTCCTTGATCTCTTGTCTCATGATCAATGGGGCAATCCGATCCATACAACTGTAGCGTCGGTTGTTGTAGGGTGCTGGAGCCCACTGGCTGTATGAAGCATTTAGAAGGCCCCACTCTTCATGCGTCATGAGTGGAAAAGAAGGACGGCCACCGCTGGGTCGAAGACCACCAGAAACGTAATCGCCAAATGACTGCACATGTCGCAACGTTATAAGGTCCTCCTCTGATATCTATCAGTATATAATGTTGAGATTCTTGAAGGCATCGTACCATAGATGAGCTTGAGAAGCTGTTCGTGACTCCATGATGCATGGTCACCGAACCAATCCTTCATGTGCTTCTCCGCTGCATTAATATCCATCTTGCGTAGACCCTCCTCCATTTCTTCCTTCTTAGTAGAAGAGGAAGATGAAGAAGCCATCTTTGATGTTGAAGCAATTTGTCGATAAGGTATGTTCGGATGGTGTCTTTGAATATATAGTAACGAAGACGACGACGGTGCAAAACGAGCTTTACCACAAGCGGGTGTGCGCCAGGCTACAGTACGCAAGGCGTTTCGGGTCAATTGCACCGTGATCATTGAACGGAGGCAGTCAAGGCACTATGGACTGACAAGCTGGACGAAAAAGGGTTGCAGCCTCAGGGTGAATCTAAGGCGCGCCGCCCTAGAACCGGAAGGGGAAGGCGTGAACGCCACCAATCTCCGCCACTAGGCAGCGATCTGGAGAGAGAACATTGGAAATAGCGACCAAGCTTCAGATTTCTCAAGCATTCCTTACTGTGTTTGCTTTTATCCTCGAAAGCCGTACTTTGGAAAGTACCTCTGCTCTTGAAATGCGACACGAAGCAGGCGTGATATGTGTGGTCCTGGAGTGGTCAGTTTGTACATCTTCGAGTATAATATGGCGGAGTATGGGCACCACGGAGTTGTGTAATGGAGGAAGAGACAGCAGAATTCAGATGATGAAGAGAAGGACATGCGCTAGGACAGCACGATGACAGCATGGCCTCCTTCAACAAGGGGTAGGTGAAACTTATCACGGTGCGGCCTCTTTCTTAGTTCTTGATGATTGTGGTGAGCGCTGCTCAGCTTCTAATGATACAGTGACTCTTCCAAACTCGCTATCGATTTGGCGAGGATGTGGCAGCAGTTGTCCCCATATTATTCTCGGACCGCATGATAGCCTCCTCGCTCTCATTTTCGATCTCTGTAAGACCCTCGACCCCGTATTTCCTATTACTGATTGACTTGTTTGTTATCCCACGAAACGGTTTCATCTCGAACTGTCCACTGTGCGATCGACTGTACAGTGCGCGAGGTCCGCTAGAACTCTTCTTATGGCTTCCCGCGCTACTCCAAATCTTGGGAAGGTATGTCTTGAGAAGCACTTTAAAAGTGGACGCCGTACTGCAAATAATGGCTGTACACATGTTTCATCAGCACTGGAGCGTTGAGAGCAGCAAGGAAGAGACGCACCGGCGTATATCTCGATACTACACCAATTCAGTGAATCCGCCATATAGTACCAGATGTCTGCTTCGTTAGAAAGAAAAAGCACATAATAGAATCGTACGCAGCCAGCTGCCACTGCGACCAGCCCAACGCAGAGAATGGCGCACAAAGCGATCTTTTGACTTTGTGGCATCTGTAACCTCCAGACAATGAAGAGTGGTAGGATGTACATGGCGAAATCTTGGATGATGCTGTGAGATACGAAAGTCAGCAAAACAATATCAACAAATTCATCAGACTGCGCAACACCTACTTCATGATGCCGTTGATGTTGAAGAACACCTGTTGCGTAGTCTGCTTCAAGCACTTCTCCGGATGTTCGGCCTGGCCCACAGGATTCCAAAACAGGGAAGGTGGTGTGCAAACAAATAGTAGTACAAAGAAGGTTACGATCGAAAGGGCGGCCACCCATGCCATCAAAAAGTATACAATCCACCTCGTACGCCGTCGAGGGTCTAGTCTTCGGTAAAACACTAGGATGCTGAACTTGACTAGGCAAATTGCTACAACGTACAAAAGACGTGTGGCAAGGTTCGCTTTCAGCATGGATGGAAAATCCTCGTTAGGGATGTCGAGCGCTATTCGATCGTCGGCTGCTGTCTGACTGGATGGATCTACTTCGGTTACTTACTATGGGTGCCTACACCGTACCAACCACCTACGGATAGGAATATTAGTTAGTTTCAGGCTCAATAGCTAGAGTTTCATTGCCGGAGAGGAGACTCACAAATCATGTTGGCAATAGAAAGCGAGATCGTGAAAAGTGCACCAGATAGCATCAGATCTAGATTTGATCATGTTAGCGGGAAGCTTGCAAAGGTTTCCTGTGGCAGTGGACTTACAGTCTTCGACGGCTAAACGTAATTTCATCAAGCGTATACGCACGTAGATGCGTAAGAAGATTATCACACTCGTGATAACAATGAAAGAGATACCGACCGCGAACAATGATCCTTGCTTAGTTCCAGCCTCTAGCCCACGAGACTGCATGTGATATGATAATCTTCGTAGCAGAGACATATTCGACTTCTTCATGCGCGTAAGACCAGGAGACTGGACGGAATTCGTTGACCACCAAAACGAATGGAAATGCGAAAGGAGTTGGGGCACGAGCTACATCTTTGTGGTCACTCGGGCGTGCCGACTGTGCCTCAGAGGCTGGAAAAAGAAACAGATGATCATAACGTCTTCTGTAAATTGCCTTGCCGTGTCGACCCGATGCGAAGGTTCTGGTTGTCGATGAACTCGCTTCTATCTTAGCATCTGCCAGCTACGCACAGCCACCGAAGCTCGAAATGACTTCTCATCATTACCAAATCCCAGTCTGTCTTATCGGATATAACCAAGTTTGAACTGTCAGCAAGGTTGGGGGGAAGGGAATAATGCAAAACTCGGCATATACTTCAGAGGGACGCATGATTCTCCTCAAAGCACTAACTCAATAGCGTAGTTCCCCCGTGCCTCCACGCCGCAGCTAGATCCTTCGCAAGGAACCCGCTGCCTCGGATCGCATATGACACCAATGGGATGCCATGCCGGTGGGAAAGAGAAGAGGAGTGCGTAAACGCCGCAACAGCCAAGACCTGTTGGTACATCGTACCGCTAATCATGTATCGCTCTTCAGACGGTAGACGAGCCCTAGCAGGACATTAGCTAAGAGCGTCTTTCCCCAGGAGATGATGTTTTGTAGGTCTCAATCGAGGAACCATGTTCCGAACTGTAACGAGTCGCACTTATGGGATAGCCCCATTTAATACCTCTCTTCCAACCCATTGAGGGCATAGTGTTGTGAGCTTCACATTGTGTATGGTGCGCCTGTGAAGAGCTCAAGATGCCGAGGCTCCACGGAGAACGTTCTGTTTGATGCAAACGAATATTATTAGAAGAAAAGCAAGGCTCCAGGGACAACAACTTCATTCGCGAATTCTGAAATCCTGACGCTAGGCTAACGCCCCGAAGGAATACCGTATTGGGCTTAGTCTTTGATGGTCTCTGAGGAAAAACATGATTCACGGTGTCTTGACGTCAAATCTTCGATCGCCCAGCACAATACAGATTTTGTTGAGACGAGAGAACTAAACGCTCCAAGCGATGTGTTACCAAAGACTTACTTCTTAGCCCCAATGCAGCTCTCCATGGTCACCATCCGCCTGTTCTCCGTTAGGGCGACTAATTCAGCCCAAAAGTCCTTCTTCCAAGCATTTTGCTGTCGCTTTGGCTCCCAGCCTAATAGCTTGCGTGCTTGCACCGCTTTCGTAGCCTTATGCCCGCCCCAGCCACGCTCCGCGATATCGCGACGGCCTGCGGTGAGCTTGTCCGCAATTTCATACAGTGGTACAAGTCTGATTTCCTTTTCTTTGGGGGTATCATCGCGTGGTAAGGTACCATCAGCAAAGGCTGCATCCAAGCAACTCTGGTTGATCTCCTTGATGAGGGTGCGGCCCACTGCTGAGAACATGATGCCATTCCTGCCAGATGGAAGATAACCGACACCGCGGTCATCGCGTTCAAGAATGGTGCGTACGAGAAGAACATATATATCGGCGAGATCGATGACGTGGACCCAATCGAAATTCGCAGTTTCGTTGAGCTTCCAGCCGTAGCCATGCTGTACAACGTACATCATGATCAAAGGAATGACTAGACCTTGGCGGTTGAACAGGCCAGTACCTTCGCCAAAGATGCAAGGTGTGTTGACACTGATAGCCTGTACACCAGTTTCAGCAGCCGTATTCAAGACGCCGACTTCGGTTGTGCGCTGCGCGTATGGCTCCATCTCATCGAGCGCTCCCATGAAGTCGAGGATCCTTCCACGGTCTGTTTCATCATTCCACTCGCGTATCGGTCTTGGGGGTTGCGTCAAAGGACGATCGGATAAGTTTGTACAACCAGATATGTGCAACATCCACGGTGCGGGTTTACCGGTATTGATACCGCGTGCGAGACCATTTACAAAGGCAATGGCACCTTCAGGAATGAAACCAGAGCCAGTATTGATGACAATATCATAATTCGAGGCTGTGTCTTCAATGAAAGCCGTGTCCTCAAGGCCAGACCATCTGATGGTATTAACGCGAGAACCGTACGCGTTTCTGAGTTTCACAGCCTGCGCTTCGTCGCGAATGAGGAGATCGAAGGTGAGATCCTTGATGCTTGGGGCAGTACTGGCTATAAGTTGAGAAAGTACAGTACCGCCAACGTACCCGGTTGCACCTGTGATAAGAATTCTGCTCATGATGTAATCAAGAAGAAGGTCCAGGTCTGATTCTGGAAAGAATCTTGGTTATACAGAATGTTAGATAGATATCTCCGTCGCTTCGGTTGAGATGGCCTCCCCTGCGCAATCTAACTCTCGTGCCTGTCTTATAGTGGATCTCGAAGTATAGGATGCGAGCTTGGCCATGTATGAACCTTACAGACCAGGAAAGGACTGCGTGGTCGCTGAAGGATTGTGGGGCGTCCATCCAGTTGGTTTCGTAGCATTGGCTACATGAGAAACGCATTGGCCATCGATGCTTCCTCCTCATGCAAAATCTCCGCACACGGGTCACTGCTTTGCATACCCTCAGCCGGAATCTGGTCATTCTCCAACATAACATCGGTCTCTGTTGACGTCTGGCCAATTTTCAACGGAGGGACCGAATCGACTGGCAGTAACAACCAACGCAAGAGCAGCTGCAGCAAGAGAAAACGAGTTGACTGTGATTCGCATGATTTGCAAATCTTGACTTAATCCTTCGGAATGGGAAATCAAGCTGTACCGTATCTGGCAAGTTCTCCATAGTTATCTGAGGGGGACGCACCTATGCGGCGCAGTAAGAGCGGTCAACATCGCAAGTCAAAGGAACCAAGTAACGCACCACTGTTACGAGAATAGGATGGAATATTTAGTCGTAAATCAAGGGGCGTCGAAAAAGAGGCTGACGGCCCGAGATGGCAGAACGCTACGTCGTTGCGACCAAAGAACCGTTGTACGTGCCTGGTTCAAGGGCTCCGGTCGACTGAACTTGTTGCGTTGCCATGGCCGCATGATGGGACGGAGTGGAGTCGCCGCCAAACCCCCATGCGTGGAAATAAGAAATCGAGTGATTTACCCTGTGGTCGGAGACGCTGTGGGCCCTGTGCACGGCTCATATGTTATCCAAACAGATCGAATGCAGCAAGCTCCAGCTATGTCTCCGATCAAGCAGAATGGTGTAGTATAAATGGCAGGAAATGCTGTTTAGATGGTCTTGGTTGCGTATATATGGATTGAGTCTTGCATAACACGATGTGTATTGCCTAACTTCACACTCCTGAGCTCATCCACTCCTGGGCTAGCACGGGGCTAGCGGGTAGCATGACGTAATTTGCGAGGTGTGCGAACCCATCAATATCGACTCCTTAGATTGATGTTTCTCAGCTGATTTAATCCTTTAGTGACTAGATCTAGTTGTTTCCCCTATCGCTAGGTAACGCTTCGGAATCTTGGGGCGCTTTCAGGTAGGTGACTTTAGGAGTTTCTAGTATAACTACGATTTGGCTGTCACGTATAGGGAGTCTGATAAACCATCAAGTCGCAGCAAAAAGTGTTAATACTACACTATACTAATCCAACAGCCAAGAAGCGGAGCTAAAGTATGGTCGAAGCAGAAAGTAACTAGAAAACAAAAAAGCAAATAGCTGGTTAACATCATAAGTTTCCCTTCCTATTCACGCCGCTGATGTCCTTCACTCTTTGGAGGTGCTTTCCACCATTCTTCTTGATGTGTTGACTGAATGTCTCTAGCACACCGCTTCGTAGCACATCTTCGCGCTTCTCATCATTTCGGTGAAGAAACTCAAGAAGCAGGGGTATGTACTTGAAGTCCTTAGTCGAACTTACATACGGCTGATCTCCCGTGAGGCTAACGTACACATCCTTTATGTAAGACGCAAGCTGTGTACATTCTAGCCAGAACGTACCCTTAGCAAGATGTGCCACCACATCTTGGGCTTGCATCAGCTGCGCGAATGCTTGAAGAATCTCACGAGGCCCAAACTCGTCATGGCCGAGCGACTCGTCGGTTTGCTGATCTCTCTCAGCCTGTTGCCCTTGTTCGTCCTGTTTTTCAGAGGCATGGGTGGGCCGGTTCGAAGTCGGTGTGATCGGCGGCGAATCCCGTTCTGACTGCGAATCTGTTTGTGGAGCATTCGGCTGCAAAAGAATTCGAAAGTCTCCCGTGTTTGTGGCACCTGCTTCTTCCAAATTTATAGCTGGTCTAAACTTGGCCATCGAGTCAGAAGTCATCCCAAATTCTGATTTAGTCTCAGGTCTAGTAGCCACGACACTCCAAGCACTCTTTTCTTTCCTCAGATGCACAACGAGAAAGCTCACCATCTCCTTGAAGTTGTCGGTCGAGCAGTCAGAGATCCACCTTTGCAGGGATTTCTCGAAGCTTGTCGGCTGCAGAAATTCTATAGCTCTACCCGATAATAGCATCAGCCTTGCCTGTTTATAGAAATCGTGATAGCTCGTTGGTAGAGTGTGCTGGCCAAGAATTGCTTCCAAGCCAAAGAATGAGATCAGAAAGTCCATCTCGGCCCAAGAATTCTTCAAGTATCCAAGAGATGTGATTGCCTTATAGAATATTGCTACACTTAACGCTGCTGGCTCGCCTACTTCAGCCACACCGACAGCATCGCCAAGCTCCAGCAAGATAGCTTGACTTGTAAATCCGTTCAATGTAGGGTTATAGTGGAACATCAGCTGTGGTGGAGGTTTGTGGTCATACTTCTTGCCTATCTCTGTGAGGGAGTCTTTCCTCACGACGGTGTCGATGATGTCGGTGGCAACGCATAGCTGCGGGGGTATATAGAGTTTCCCAGCAAACCACTGTTTCTTCTGCAATTCAACGTGGTCGGCGACGTCAAGCAGCGCTTGACCCTGGCGGAAGAAATCGTTATTCTCGTTCAATTTCAGTATAACTCGAAGCAGTAAATCGAGAGACACCACCTCCCAAAACTCAGGCTTATCGGTTTGCAAGGTCTTGGGCAGGGAACGTGTCAGCGCATCCGTTACGCTATAGCATTGTCTGCCTTCGATGCGTTCCACGATACCCATGGTCTTACAAAATTTCACCAAACACAAGCCACCTGACGCCTGCCATTCATATCGTTGAATGTTGTTTGAGGCCTCGATTTGTTCAACCGTTCGCAGTTTAGTGGATGGATCAGGTGTCGGAAGTGGAGGCATGTCAGTTGTCGTTGACATGTATATTCTCATAGCGTTGTTTTTGAGAGTCCACACAGTGAGGTAACTCTCCAACGTTGGCATGAAGAGAGTCCTAGCAATATCTCGGGCTGACGCTTGTCGAACTGTGTTGCCGCCCTTCCTCAACGCCTGACCGTGGAAGTTCTCATATAGAAGGTAGAGAAGACCAATGACACCAGTATCAGGACAGCCAGGAAAACGGACGAGTGGAACCTGCTCAGTAACTTCGATTTTGGATACTTCTGCCCGAATTAACTGGTATGCGAAACCAGTGATGACTCCGCTAGCAGCGGGCGACAACTCATTCGCATGGCATTTTTCCCATATGTCGAGAGCATCTTGTTGTATCCCAAGGAGCAAGACATTGTGGCCTAGAAAAGTCTCAATGTCTTGTTGGTCGATCTCATCCTCTTTTATGTCTAGATCGTGTACTGCAGGATCCAATTCGGAGAAAATCTCGCTATTATTCTGCGCTTCGGGTACCGCGTCGCCAAGCTCTTCGATATATAGATGACGGAATGAATTTGAGTCGTACTTATTCGACACAGGAGAAACGGTTCATTCGTTTTGCCGCTGGGAAAGTCGGCGAAGAGCGACTGTCAACATGCGGAGAACGTCTTTAAGGACAGCATTGAATGCAAAGTGCCTGCTGCGGTTCTCCTTGATCTTCGGATCGGATTCAGCCAGCGGTGCCCTGAGTGCGATCTCGGTGTCCCTCAACAATATGACATCCCTGAGATGGTGGAGGACGCTGTTCGGGATGAGGGCAACTTGAGGAAGGTCGTTGGCGATGATCTCTCCGCATCTCAAGAAGACGGAGATCTTCATATGATCGGTTGGAGTGTCTGGGTCCGTACGACACTTCTTTATCCAAGACAAGTGTCCAGTCGACTCGATCGATGCTTTCACCAGATACTTCTGGATGTGCTTGGTGCCATGCTTCAGGCGCGGTCGGTCTGACATGCTATGATATGTAGCTGTGTATGACGGGTTGTCAGAATTTGGATGACTCGTACGTATCAAAGCCTGCAGGACGGGTACGAAGGTCTTGAATTCCGCTGGCAGCAACGAGTACTGGTGGTCAGTTGTGTAGCAGTCAAGTAGGGAGTATATCGAAAGTTGGAGTTTGGTGCGTTCGTGTATGTATATAAGGTCTGTAAGGGTAATCAGGGGATAAAGGAGGCGCATTGTCCAACGATCAAGAGAAGGAAGGGTCGACCAGTGCCCGTGCAACAGTCGTTGAGGGTGAATTGTATGTCAACAATCAACGTGACCAGTGCCACTGCACAGGGTGTGCTAGACATAATTTCAGACTCAAAGTCAACAGTGAAATTGGATAGACAAAAATTTGCAGTACCCGAACCACATGGTCTCGGTTAGGTAAAGAAATTCCAGCCTCGACTCCAGGCTTCAGTATTTTTACTCAGACCGTACATGGAGTTTGCAGTCCGTAATCGGGCCCGATGTACAATCTTCGTACATTCGGATAGACGTGACGCTTATTTCAATAATACTCTGGCCGGATTAACAAGCGAGAAGGTGAGATCGAGGTTAGATGGGTCTCTACATAGGTTGTTAGTATACTTATACTGTTCTAACCTTCGACTTGTTTGATGATCTTGATTGAAACAAGTTTGCGTCCACGTTGTACGTTTGCACTGCCGGTCACAAACGAACTGTCTCGAGTCGCCTGACCGGCTTGAAGACATGGCGGAGCTTGATCTGGCCAGTTATACAGAGAATCCGTGTGTGACGGGGTGGCTACAGTTCATCAGCTCCTCTCGCGCACTTCCGTATACTTCTTTCCTGCTATATCTCTTCTCGTAAGCTACGCAAAGCGGGACGAAGATTGAATGACTTGTGCTAATGATTTCGGAACGTACAGCAGCGTACTTAATAGCTCTGCAGCTAAAGACGCGTGACTTGACGCGTCGTGAAGATCGACAGATCCAAACCGCGCGCGCGCTCAGTGCGCGCAAAGCAGCGCGTAAAACTGTAAGCCATGAAATCTTCCAGATGCTCTTCATTTTCGTAAATATTGTTTGCGATAAGAGAAGAATGTGAAAGAAAGTTCGTGAGACAGACAATGAGATGGGAGGGAGTCGCCACCAAACTGCCAGATCCGAGGTGGCTATGCGACGTCTTAGCGCCTGCACTCTTCCCGCCGACTAACCCAACCTCCACAAGTTCGGCAGCAGCTTCTGCATCATCATCGTTACTTCTGCTCACCATCTTAGTTTTTACCCATGCAAGCGGCCATCGTTGTTCTTTGACCATGCGATGGAAACATAGACTATGGGACACCAAGCATCCTCACCAGAGGCTGAGTAGCTCGCTTTACCTGCCGTCCTTTCCGAATACCACCATCATCGGCATCCACATCCGAACCGATCCACCATCATCGCCTTGCCAAGCGGGTGACAGCGATCAACGTCATATGCATCAGGGATGCATTTTCATCAATCTCGCATATAGTCAAATGATGGGAATGTCCCTCAGCACTCACTTTAGATCAAGCCTGATCATCCCAACGTGCAATGTCCGATATCAACATCACAAACGAACGACCATCCTATCAAGCCGTCTTCTCCCTCGATGTCATCACAGCAGCTGGAGCCCTAATTCTCCTTGGTCTAGCATCCAGACCTACGTTCAAGCGAATCAAACAACGACGCTTTACTGCGCCAGGCAAAGAGAACAGTGCTCGTGATGGTCCATTAAAGACGACTTTGGGAACATACCTCTTCCTCTGGCCAGCACTTCTCTGTCTCTTCGTCGCCTATGTATGTCGCTTCGTATCCGATCTCCTCAAGAAGAGCGGAACGATCGATTACACTAGCGACCTCGGTTGGAATGGCCGTCGAGCCTATACCCTCATAGGGAGTGAATACTCTTCCAGTATCTCGGCCCTTACCTTCACTACAACCCTCGCCACAATCTTCTTCACTGTGCTGCTCAATGGCGGGGTCTGGATTCACTCCAGTCATGTTCAGGAAAACGGCACCGGTATTTCCACACCAAAGACCATGTCGCGTATCTGGAATACTTTCATCATGTTTGCCATGCTGGGTACCGGTGTTGCAGCTTGGGGCTTGGGTATGGAAGCAAGGGATATCAGCACTGGTAGCTCCGGCCTAGATGCACTGTTGTCTTGGTCAAATGTTATGAGCCATGACCGTGCGACAAGAATCACATATATCGTACACGAGGCTATTGTTGTGGCAGCTAGCTTGAGCGTCTCGGCTGAGGTATTGAGGGAGTATGGGACAACGAATAAGAATGCTCATGGTGTAAGTCTATCGCTTCGCAGTGCATTACCTGGTACTAGTGCTAACATCCTGCAGTCGCCCGAACGCCACGACCTCGCTCGTTTCGCTTTCGTCGTTGTGCCGCTTATTTGGCTTCGCGACATCTTCATTATCTATGACATCATACTTCTTTACGTTGACACCTCAGGATGGTCAAACAATGCTGTTCTGGCTACGACTTTCTTGCTTGTCATCTGCAGGCAATTCGCTAATTTGGCCATTCTGGGTATGGTGCTTTGGGGTGCTTGGAGGATGGGGCGAAGTGTTAGTTTGTTTGGAGGAAGTTATGCTTGAGCGAGATGATCACTTGCGCGACCGAGGCGTCTAGGACTTTGACACGACGCATACAGTAATAAGTGCGTCTTCCATGTATGGATGGAAATGTAAGATATGTGGTTTCAGTGCATACAGATATTGAATGGAACGGTGATAATGATGAACCTGGATTGTGTGCGCTATATTGTCATCTATCTAGCTATGCTACTATGTACGGGAGTGATGAGTCCGCCAACACACGCTCTTGGAAGAAGTCTCAACGCTGACAGCCCACCACCGAACCTCGCACGTGATTAAGCTCGCTGAGTCTCAACACCCGATTTGTATGGGTTGACTGGGGCCTGTGTCTTACCAATGTGGAAGAATTGCCATAGCTCATGTGCGCGGAAATCGTTTGTCGCGTTTCCTTGTAGAACTCGAATACTACTTCAAGAACTGGACCCATTCAGCTCTCAGTTGAACAATCTAAGGATAAAATCACCCTCCGCTTTGCGCTTTCACTTTACGTTTTGGGCTCACGATGGGGATGACGTTGGAACGAGTGCGTTGATGAGGGCAGCGCACGAGAGAACCAGGGCAGGTGAGATCCATGTGAGCAAGTCGGAAGAGACTAGCAAAAGAAGCGAGCGGCGGTGAATGAGGAGTTTCCGTTGTTACTAATGGAAATGCTTTTACCACGGTAGATGAAGGTGGGAAAAGGCCTGCTCGATGCTGGAGTGGGATGGCTTAGGCAAGCGAGGATCATGAGACAGCCATTTCGAGCTCAGACTAGGATAGAAAATGACCCAGAATATGCTGTGCTTGGAAATCTCGATGGAAAATACTGAGTTCCAGAGGTAGAACGTAAAAGTCACGTTCTATCAAGTTTACGGGGGCAGTCATTGGTTCGGATCGTGATTTTGATGGAGTAAAGCCCGTGTGTACGAGCAGCTACCCTGGAAGAATGTGACTGATCCGTCTGATAATGATATCTGATGAGCGCTAAGCTTTGTATTCCTATGGTATGAACGGCGTCAATCCACGGATAGAAAACGTTTAGAGCCTATCTGGGAAGTGACCAATGAAAATGCTCAGTTCCACGATCCCAACCAAGTTCCACCATCGAGCTTAACTTTTAGGATCAGATAAGTATTAGTATAAAGCGATTCATGAACGCGATATGATTTTATCTGATTTCCCAAACCTTCAGTTACCTTTTAGCCATATCACGATGCTTCCAAAGAAAAATGAACCCAACGGCCCGACCGCCACGCGCAAACGGAAATGCGAGAAAGATGACGAGATTCCAAAGCCAAAAACATCATACAGAAAGCTAATGCCTGCTTCTGAAAAGCCCAGGAGGAACCCAGGCGCTACAATGGTCCCGGACCAACATCATACTCTTGGACATGGTCCGGTTTCGAGGCCTCAAGGTCTGGCCGCCGGTCCCAGTCCAGCAATCAACCAAGAAGCATCTGGTGCGCCATCTTTTCCTCGCTTAATGAAACCTTATGGAAGCCGCAAGGAGCAGGAAGCTCGAGAATATATCTCAAATTTGTATCGATCGGGCAACATGGGGCCTGCTGTGCCCTCATCAGGGATGATAAGCTCTCAACCACCACTACCATCAAGCCAAAACTTTGATGGCTTCGGAGTTCCTACTATTTGGCATCCTGAGTATGAAGGAATGTTCCAGGAATCTTTGAGGCGTGTACAAGGGGGGTTCTTGAGTGAGCCCCCCAGTATGTTCAACCTCAATATGGATGGGAGTTACAACGGTGCAGACTTCGGTTGGATGACTAACATGGTCGCGATGAATCCACCATTCTTCCCACATCCTGATCCACTGCAAAATGGTCAGGAAAGCGCTGTAACAACGCCAGACACAATCTTCTCTTCGGATCATGCTCCTGCCTCCTTCCCAGGTAGCTATGATGGAACCATTGACCCGGTTATCCTGTCATCCGCAAACGAAGTTCCGCAGAACGATGATATGACCATTCCGATGAATGCTGCCCAAGCGTTCAACAACACTGAGGAGGGTGGTGAGGAAATTGGCTTCAACGACCTCCTGCCTCAAATCCAGGAACAACAGCCGCAACCTCAATATCAAGCTCAGGGCATCGACCTCCATCAGGAAGGAAGTTACAACCAGCAGCCACCGACATATGCCCAATCGTATGCTCCAGGCTACATTGACAGCTACCCTTCGCAACAGCAGCAACCCTGGTCTATGCCAATCCACGCCAACGGCTTCCCTCTGGCACAGCCGCAATCCTGGTATATGCCAAACTACACCTACGACCCTCCACAACAGCAGGCACTATCTTCGTATACGCCAACCTTCCCCAGTGTCCCTCTGCAACAGCAGCAGGCGTTACCACCGTATGCGCCACCCTTCCCCCATATTCCTCTGCAACAACAGCAGCCGCTACCCTTGTATGCTCCATCCTTCCCCAGTGCTCCTCTGCAACAGCAACAGGAACGACACCCATGTATGTCTCCTTACGCCAACCGCCGTCCGCAACAGCACCGATCAGCCCCACAACCCCCTCCATGGTACCAGTCGTCCCATGCGTCGCCCACTCAGTTCAACAACATTGTCGGCCATAACATCATGTTGAACCATGTCCCTTCATTGTCATCGTTGTCATTGTTGTCAAGGGTGCCATCGTTTTCGGTCCCGTACGAAAACCCCACCAGTCCTGAGATCGGACAACAAAATTATCTGCAACAACCGCAAGAGGAAACTACAAGCGGACAGAATGAAGCGGCGAAAGAAAGGGAGGATTTTGTTTTCGAGGATTTTGTTACCGAGGATATAAAGGAGGAATAGCTAGTAGCGTGCGAACGAACAAACGCGCGCAACAACGACGTGTCCTTACTTTCTTTCCATCGAGTCGTCGACAAGAGGATATGTCATGCTGTCAATATATATATACTCACCTTCAACTGACTTACTAGCGAGAGCCTTACGCATTCTAAATGTCACTATGTTTTATACCTAATCGTATCTTTCCAACGATTGTGCGCGCGATGAGGCAGAAGAGAAAGTGCGTGGGAAACGCAAAGTTAGATGTTCGCGGTAGCGATGCCGACTTCGGAACGGTTCGGGGTGGGAGTAACCGCCTCCCGTGGGTAGCGTCGACCCACAAGCAAAGGGGCCGCTAATCGGCCAATGAAGATTGCTGAAAGTTTCTTGAGCTCCTATCACTTATGCGAGTGCACTTTTTCAATGCTTCAATATGGTTTTACTATTGGTATCTATGTCATCTCATCGTCGTTTTTCAACTTCAGGATTTCCCTAGACATGACCATGTCAATATCTAGCCCTGAGGAGACGCCCAAGTTATTTGGTCATGGACTGTCTCACGGTGAAGCCACCTCCTCCAGTATGTCAACGTGGTACGCATATCATCGGTCGCCTTCTAAGCCCTCGACATGTTCTCGCCCTCCTCAGCCTTCTGGAGACCGTACTTCTTGAGACTATAAAATCATTAGCAAAAGCTTCACTTTTGAAAGGAACGTGAACTAACCGGATGCTCTGGATGGCGATAAAGCCAGTAGTGTCCATTGGGCTGAAGTTGTCCAAAGTGTCCATGGACGCCTCCTCCTCAGAGTACAGCTTCTCAGTCTGGCTGGACCTGCCCAGGACGTACGCATTGCCCTTGTACAACTTCATCCTGACCTCGCCGTTGACCCTGCGCTGGGAGAACAGCAGACTGTTCTCGATGAACTCGCGTTCAGGAGAGAAGTACATGCCGTTGTAGAGCTGGTAGCTCCAGTTGTGCGAGACGAACTGGTCGCGCAGGTTGCGCACCTGTGCGTCCATGACGAGACCCTCGAGATCGAGATGGGCGAGGCGGAGGATGGTCATGGCGGGAGAGTCGTAGCAGCCGCGGGACTTGAGACCGATGAAACGGTTCTCGACAATGTCGATGCGACCGATGCCGTGAGTGAAACCAAGCTTGTTGAGCGCAACAAAGAGCTCGACAGAGTCGGTGTAGGTCTTCTCTGGGGTGACGACCTTGACGGGAATACCCTTCTCGAAGTAGACGGTGATGTCGGTGGGTTCGTTGGGAGCGTTGAGAGGGGAGTCGGTCATAGTCCACATGTCGTCGGGAGGAGACACGTCGGGGTCCTCGAGGATACCTGACTTGTTAGTCACACTAATGCGATTTCTGGGTGTTTCGCCATACCAGCTTCGTAGCTGCAGTGAGCCAAGTTGGCATCCATAGACCAGGGCTTCGCCTTGGTAGAAGTGACTGGAATACCATGCTTCTCAGCATAGTCGAGGAGATCTTGCCTGCCCTTGAAGCGGTCGCAGAATTCGGGCAACCTCCATGGCGCAATGACCTTGATGGTAGGCTGGAGTGTGTAGAAAGCCAGCTCGAAGCGGACTTGGTCGTTGCCCTTGCCTGTGCAGCCGTGCGAGACGAACCCGCAGCCTTCTTGTTGCGCAACGCGGATTTGTGCGCGGGCGATGACTGGGCGGGCCAGCGAGGTCCCGAGGAGGTAGCGGCCTTCGTATGAGGCATTGCATTGAACAGCGCGGAAGCAGAGCTCCTCAACGAATTCCTTCTGTAGGTCGAGAATGACCATCTTCTTCGCACCAATCTTGAGCGCCTTCTTCTCGACCTCGTCCCAGGGCTCTTCCTGGCCAACATTGGCGAGGAAGCACACGACTTCATAGCCCTCCTCTTTGTCTGCGTGTTAGCTTGTGCTGCATCTCTGAACACTGTTCTGGCGTACCGATGAGCCATTTCAGGATCGTGGAGGTATCGAGGCCGCCTAATGACTCAGGTTAGTTTTGCTTGCTCAGACGTGACGAGAGCAATTGGTCGTGCAATCGCCAATTGTAAGTAAAACTCACCAGAGTAGGCAAGGCAGACGCGTCCCTTTGACATATTTGCAAGTTTGGAGGTATAGAAAGTGAAGGTAGACGAGAACAAGTGAGTAGGAAGAATAAATAGAAGAGGGGTTGCGGCGTCTGGGGAACGACGTACGTGCGGAGAGTCACTTGCTTATCTTATCGCCCAAAAAAAGTTCGGTGCTCAGCATCCCTGCGGGCCGATCATCGGTCTGAGTCAAACTCACCATAACGAGGCATCTAAACTTCACGACGTCTGGTTTGACTCACCCGAATAGTAAATTTGATGAACCGCATCTAGCCGGGCCCAGTTTTGGTGTATGACGCAAATGAGATGTGTTCAGGAATAATATTCAAGTGGTATATATCCCAACGCCAGGTATGCAATACTCTTACCCAGAGCATGTAATGTCGTAAGCCTCAACAAAGTATGAACAGAGAGACCATCGTGAACCCAAATGACTTGTCGCTACTCAAAACTCAAACGCGCCTTTCCACTCAGAATCTCGGACATGCCAAGGAGTATGTCCTCCTAGAACGCGCCGCCGGCGACCCTTTCGCGTTCGTAGAAAACAATATAAGCCTTCTCGTTCTGCAAACGATTGTGTGGCGGGAGATTCCCCGGGTCGAAATCTGTAATTTTGTCGTCGTTGAACGACCTCCAGCACCCTCTCGATTTATCCTTGACGAACGCGATGTAATGTCCGCTTCCAAGCGTAGCGCCAATATGCCAGATCACAGCGTAGGCATTATACACATAAGGTCCGTTCATAGTGGGGTCACTCTTGACACCCGCAAGCTGCGCAGGCCCATCTCGGGCTTTCTCTGACACGTAGCGCTCTTGTTCGAGGCTCATGGGTGGTTCGACATAGGGTCCCATGTCTAAACGTTGGAGGGGGAAATTAACAGGCGTCCGGACCTTCCGGGCACTTTCAGTGCGAGAAGCACTGAAGCGTTTAAAGTGAATGACGAGCGTGTCAGGCGCGCGGGTGATAGTGATCTTCTTCACAGCCTCGCGATCCTTCTTGCAGCGAGGGCAACGCCATAGCTCATCTCCTGCTAGTCGCTCCGGCGCACAATATGAGTTTAAGCATTGGCGTAAATCGCATTCACCGTCGCGGGGAATTTCTACGCTGATGCTCCAGAAGGCTTCATATGTTGTGCTCGTCACGCCGCATGTCTGGCATGTTAGTTGTGAAGCGTGTTGACCGGCGAATAGACCGCCAATGACAGACATGTCCCTATGTTGATACCTTCGCCACTCAATCATGGCTGAGTACTGACGGGGGAATCTCTCTCGCGTCAACTCGTCCGCATCCGAGAGCGGTTTGAGTGGTGGTTTGTTCCACGTTAAATTCAAGTCCTCGTGCATGTAATCTAGAACGAATTCGAGAAACTCTTTGGCGTCTTGCTGCTCGTCGATTCCCCATTGTGAATTGAAATGACCACATATACGCTACTCAACATTAGTCATGCTTATTCTCTGCCTCTGTTCTTAGAAACTTACTCTGAACGTGCTGGGGCGGACGGATCCGACATCGCCTTTGTACAGATTTGACAGCAGGGTTGCGTACGCCTCTGGTAGGATACCCTTGGTTCCTTTCCAATTGTCTCGCTGCAGATCACGCTGATATCGTCCGGTGAGAAACAGGTCTGAAAGCAATAGATGCCCACTAAGGCACTGCACTACAGAGTTCATGTAGCATGTGACGCCAAAGTTCAGTAGTCCAGTCCGGTGCAATCTCAAGTTACTAAATTGAGGCTGCCCATTGTAAACAACATCTCGAGTTTGTTGCTGTCGCTCGTGCACGCCACTATAGCTGACTCGAGGCACAGACGGCGGTGGCCGCGAAGGTGCAACAGGTATGGCAGGTGCGACGTATTGATTGGTTGATTGGAATTTGGAAGGGTACATCATAGACGACTGTTCGGCTTCGACATCGGGATATCGACGCAGAAACTCTTCTGTTGAGCGATAGAATGGCGACGTAGGCTCCTCTTCTTCCTCGCCTTCTGCTGGAGGTACTTGAACAGCAGCACGTCCTTTTCGAGCTTCCTCCAGCCATTGTTGTTGTTCTTCCTGATCCATGGGAACATATTCGCGTCTTGATCTTCTCTGCGTATTGTTTCTCGCAATGTGGCTAGCGGCGGGTGATCGTCGGATAGCCCGAGTTCTGGTTGGACCAGCCGCCATTGCTGCAGCGGTAGAGGACATCTTCAAAGCTTGTGGGCCCACCAGATCTACCCAAGCATCAAGTCCACCTTTGAGGAGGACTGGGGGACGCTTGAGTGGTTTGTCGGCGTTGAACTCGTGCAAGGTGTCAAATAACCGCTTCAAAGCAACTTCGCTATCTGATCGATTGTGCCTATGCATGAAGTCAATGTTCTTAGTTGACTCGTCATAATACACGACTACGTCGAAGTCGGCTCGCCTATCGAACATGTCCTGTTCGTCGTCTGGTGATATGATCAGACGATCTTGAAGCTGTTCGGCCGAGTCGCCATCACGCAGTGTTAGTGGCTCTATGCACATGATGTTGCGCACAAAAACATGTCCGGCGTCGTAGTCTGTCCTATCCCGCACGTCGATGGTGAGTACATTGTACATACGGTAATAGTCGTAAAGCATGCTGGCGTCGATCTCAAGTTCCACAGTCTTACTGACAGATCTTGTTCTACCGTTCGCATCGCGAAGATTTTGCTGAGCCGGAAAATACGAGTTCGGTGCACCGTTGACGTTAGGCGCATAGCTCGATGCGCTGGATGAAGCAAGTGAGTTTGTACGTCCTCCGGTCCCATTCAAACTTCTAGGCGTACTCCGAGGTGCGTTGATGCTTGAGGGGCCTGAGATATTCCGCGCTGGACTATAGGTAGGACTGGGCTCCTTTGGTAGGGAGGCTGCAAATTGTGTATCTAAAGGTAGTTTTGGTGGCGGTGGGGGCATCGAGAGAGGTGGTGGAGGCATG